GAATTAGAAACGATCCCAGCGGGCCGAGAAAAAAACTATCCCACAAAAACGCAATGGAATTATTGAACTACTGCAGCATTTTATGCGACAATTATGCCAAATTACGCCGCAATTACGCCAAATTACGCCGCAATTAAGCCAAAATACGCCGCAACTACTCCACAAATCTTAGACTCTTTTGATTGACCTGACCGGGGACGTGCAAAAAAACGTGGCTGTCCAAACATGCAGAATAAGCCTGGATCACAAGAGCCACAACGTTCGGTCGGGTTTGTCCGAAGTACTACCAGCTCGCATTGGGATAAAAACGTCAAAGTTGCTGACTAAAAAAAAACTGAAACCAAGTGCTCCAGCTCCTTGCATAGTCTTGTTTAGAAGCAAGAAAAAACGCAGCAGCAGAAACTCAAAAACGCCGCAAATTTGAAATCACGCAGCAGCACGGAAAAGGATACTTTTAGCAAAAAGTGTCTCCAACGAGGATCTAGGTATGAGCTATTCAAGTTTGTGGCAAATTCAATCATTCTGTTTTCCGCCATCCCCCGTTCACAGTCGTTCACAGTCGTTCACAGTCGTTCATTAGGATTCATGGTTATGAAATGAAGGTTTCCTGAAATAGGGGTACCCCCAAATCATCCATTTTCATAGGATTTTCCATTATAAACCCCTAGTGCACCAAATACCTTCTGAGAAGGTGTTTAGACACCAAAAAACAACTCCATCCATACAGTCTCAGTGTCGGTGTTTGGAGCTGTAGGGAACCATCCAAAATATGGGTACCATCATTTATGGAACCCCCTAAATAGCTATAGTTATTGCTTGGAATTATTTACAAAAAACAAAGGGCCCTGGGGTCCCCGCCTTGAATGTCGATTGCTTTCCTGCACTCCCATCAATCCATTGATGGGTTTCCATACATGGGGGTACCCTCATAGCTGGATGGTGTATACCCTCTGGTAAACGTAGACATAACTATGGAAAAGCACTTTTTTTAATAGGTAAATCATCTATTATAAATGTGCCATTTTCAATAGCTAAGTTAAATTACGGGTAGTGGAAAAATCCCATTAAAATGGATGATTTGGGGGTACCCCTATTTCACGAAATCTCCGTGTATGATTGTCCTGACGCTAGGCAAGACGACTTTCTGAAGATTTGGGAGATCGTGTGTCTCGCGGAAGAAGGGATCCGAGCTGCCTGTTGTAGACAAGCACAGAGCCCTAGACAAGCTCTCCGGGCCTTGGATGGCCGTTTCAAAATCCGTTTTTTTTTCCAAATCATTCCCAACAATATATTGGGAACGTCATCATCCCAACTGACTTTCACTCCATCATTTTTCAGAGGGGTAGGTCAACCACCAACCAGATAACCATGGTTTTCATCATTATCAACCATTGTTAATCCACTATAATCCACTATCACCCACTATATAACCATTATAATCCACTATAATCACTAGAGTTGGTGGTCTTTTGTTTGGTTCTTAACGACAGGGGAGGCTCAACCACCGCTGTTTGGGTACCGCCCAAGTCCTGGACGCGAAACCATTCAAAATCTCTGGCGAGTGGTAAAGAAATAGGGCCATGCAAGATGCTGTGTAAAAAGATAAGAGTACTTAGATGGGCCATGGAGTTAGTTAACTAGTTAGTAAATGGATTCTAATTGGGATTTAGGGGGGTTATATCCCCACTTACCAGCCATTTAGCTAATCCCATGGCCCATCTATGTATGAGTGCCTACATGAATGCGGATAGTCTGTTTCTTCTTGATTCTTCTCCCTTGAACACAAGTAGTTGTGACGCGTTCGGGCAGATAGTCTGCTTCTTCTTGCTTGAGACACACGAAACAGTAGGCTCCTAGCACGAGAAGTGCGGAGCGATGCTGAATTTGTGAATTAAACTTCTTGACGAGCCGACGATTTTGCCAAAACTGGCAAATTCCGAACGGTTTGACGATTTCGCTGCGGTTTCTGACCAATGTTTTAGAGGTTTGGTCGGCCAGCAGCAGGTTGTTACCACAAAAGGTGCATCTCTCAGTTTCTTGGATATGCTTTTGATTCTTGGATGTAATAATCTTCTATATGTTTTACATTTCTTTGTTGTCTTACCTTGACTAAAAAAATATCAATTTTGTGGTGAGCACCCAATTCCTGTGCATAGCAACCGGCCCTGCCTGCAAGCACATACAAAATTGTGCTCTCCTTGATGACGCTGTGCACAGCGTGCCCGATCTGGGCATAAAGACATGAAGGTTTCGCAGAATGGAGGTGCTCTAGCCCGCTGAAGGCTGCTTTTGGACCTCATTCATCTCAATCTGCCAACGTGGAGGGACCCATGCTATTTGGGTAAGGGAGGACATCTATTCCGTGAAACCATCAGCTAGGAATGTCGCAGCATGTCGCAGAGTTTGATGAAAACGTCGCGGCAGGAGATTGGCCTGTTGACGGACTCATAACCCCAGGCCCCCCTTGTTCCATGGCTAGAGGCCTAAGGAGTCAAGATGGGGGATGGTTCTGGATTGATTGCTCCGGGTTTTTGCCACAGCCACATTTTTTATGGCCTTGTAACATGTTGTGACCAGCCTTTTCATTTAAGGTCCCGTTTGTTACATACAATCCATGAAAATCCACAAATTATATCAATGAGCATCTTCAACATTTGGTTCGTAGTTTCATGTGTGATGATTTTTCTCATTACAGTCCTTATTTTAGCCCCCCTAAAATAGATGTTGGATGACTTTGAAAATATGACGGGTTTATATTTTCAGGGGTTGGCTGAAGCATCAGGCCACTCAATAAATCCATGTGGCCTGCCAAAGCTAACTCCTCTTGCCCTTTCTCCAGGAGCGCAGAGGAGCGCAGATCAGCACACTTGAGGGGGCAGGGGAAGCGCAAACGTGGGGATAACAGGTTGGTAAATGTCGGTGATTTTGCATGGCTTAGGTTTGTTCTGAATTATTCTTGGAATTACAAAAGTAGACTGTAGATATTGCGTTGCGATCCTGGTTTGCTGAGGACTGTAGCGTTCTTGTCGCTGAGTTGGCGACAGCAACGACTGTGCTTCCAAAAACCAACATGTTCTTTGGTGAATCACTTGATCGAACTATCGGTAAAAGACTACCTTGATGGTCTTGGAAACTACAGACCATTTAAGTATGATGAATGACATTTTCATGACACTTGGGAATCAAATCAAAACATTAGTTGCAACTTAAGTCATTGTCCTAACAAACGGTTACAACAAATATTGGGAATAAACACCTAGAATATGGTTGTTATATACAATGTGGGCTCCCCAAGATAGCTAAGTTGGTTTATAACCCCAACAACTATGGTTTATGGATGTTTATGGTACTTATATAAGTACGTATACTTACTGGTGTTTATAAATCAACTTATAACTTGGGGGGCCTACTTTGTACCAATATTTGTTAATGATTGGGATCATAGTTACAACGAAAACATGCTTCAAGAGTTGACCGGGCATCTCCGGGCGTGGCACACGAACAAAACACAGACTCTACGTGATCCAAGATCTTCAGTGTAAAAAAATCGCGCACACACACACCACACATATTTGCGATATGTATGGAATAACTATATATATATAATTTATACATATATATATATTTATACATACTGGTTGGTGGTTTAGAACATGACTTTTATTTTTCCCGTCATATTGGGAACAATCATCCCAACTGACGAACTCCATCATTTTTCAGAGGGGTAGGTCAACCACCAACCAGTTATGATACAGCTAAGTTAAGATTACAAGTCATTGGGATGTATTACCTTATTTCAACAATCTGGAGGTTTCCAATCCATGGGGTTTCACAAAAAATCATCCAGCTATTAGCCAGACAGTGCATGTGTTACCGCCAGACCCTCGCGTCACTCGCGTCAAAAGTTGCGCTGGGAATTGCCGCCCCCCTGGGCCCCTGGGCTCGATGTTTCATCAGGTGCAACACAAGTCGTGGGGCTAAACCAATGGACAAATCCATAGTTAAAGCATAGGAACATGGGGATTTCCATGGGGATTTTGCTAGCTGATTTATGATAGCGCTCAGTTGGGGGCCACTAATCGCTCCAATTTCACTCTGGTTTATCATACACAAATTACTATAGTCTATAGTTAATAGATGTTAATAGGGTTTATAAACCAACGTTTAACGTTTGGGGGCCCCACATTGTAGCCATGTTGCTGGGATGATTTCCTCAAACTTTGGTAGAACTTGAAGCCTGGTTATATCGAACTGCACTTAAAACCGTTTTTGGTTTAACGGGGTAATGTTTCTGTGGGCTTGTGATTGGGCGTCACCAAGGACAATGGACCAATAGATGCTAAAGCTATTCATACAAACAAAATCTACAGGATCTACAGCCAACAAGAGCTTAACATGACCGGGTAATGTTTGGTTTCTGATGTTAGTAACGATCACCCAAGACAGCAATCTACTTGGGCTGTGGTGCATCTAGGGTAAATTCTTAAGGAACAACAGTATATACCCCCTGGTAAATTAACAGTTGGACCCTGGTAAAATCACCATTTTTTAATGGAAGCTAGTCTTCCAACCCCGATGACTGCCAGGGTCTATGTTAATTTACCAGAGGGTAAATTGTTGATAATCAATATATGTGTGTGTACTTGTTCCATGTATGTGTTATATATATATATATACAACCAGGGATTAATAAACCCCTATAGGCTGTTTAATTGGGGTGGTACCATTTAAGTATCAGATTGTCACGGTTTTAGGGGAGTACCCCCTAATTAATAAGCTAGGGTTTATTAATCCAGGGTTGACATTATCCAGTTAGACGTTGGTTTATAAACTATAAACCCCATTATTATAATATATATATATATTTCTAGTTCGTTACAAGTGTCATAAACCATAGTGGCATTGGGGTTCTGTGGCCCCCAACATAGCTATCGTACATGGGGTCCCCACATTGTATAAAAAACATATCCATCATATCCCATATCGAAGTAGCTTATGACATGGAACACTTCCTTGAAAATAGCGCCCGCATCCGCCAGTCTCAAGTGCCCGAAGAGCAACTGCCCAAATTGGACAAGATCAAGAAGGCGTCGTCGTGGCATCGTGGCGTTGGCTTTTCGCAGGGGCGGGACATGCGTGCTGTCCGTGTCGGGATGGGGAGATTTTACTGAGAAAAAGGTGTTTAGTGGCTTGTGTTCCAATATTCTTTTTTTAAATGTTGAATGATGTAATCCTCTATGCACGGCAGCACGAAGCCTGGACTTCGAAAATGCTGAGGAATTTTTAAATGTTGAATGATGTTGGTGTAGCTGATTTCTGGGAATAATTTTTATCAGCTGGGGTCTTTGCCAAGAACCTGTTTTTAGATATTGAATAGCAACTGATATTTTGTAAGCTGATATATGGTATAGCTGTATAGCTCAGTGATCGCAATTTCATTCAAAATACATCGGCAATATCTTTGTGTAAGTGATATGTGTTTCTTTTCTTCAGTTGTTTTGTGATTGACGATTTTTGTCCTGGATTAGCCATGAGCTGGGGCCTCTCACTACCTCTTTAGCAGGGTTGAAACTGCAAAAAGCAAACTTGCGGCGAAGCAACGTGGATTGGGTTGAATTGAACATACCAAACATATCCAAACATTAGTGAAGTTCAACATAATAATAATTAGAGTGAACATGAAATGAACACAAATTTGAGAATCACGATTTTTGGATTATAATCAACAGAAAACCTCCAATAGTTCAACCTAGCAATTGAACATCACCCATTTTAGTTCGATGATTATACCATATTTCCCAGCAAAAAGGTGCAAAGAAGATGCATATTTAGTGCCATTGCTTCCTCGGACACTACGTTTTGACATTAAATGATGCCAGTGCTATGTTTTCCATTACCAGATAAACCTGGTGATTCGACATTCGACTACTTTTTTACATCGCGAAACACCACAGGGGGGTGAGCCGCCACTTCGGATCATCCCCGTGGTGTGTGAAAACATGTGAAGACCAAAAACAAAAAAGGATCCCAGTTGAAGATGATCCGATGACCTAGAAGATGATCCAAACTTAGGGACAATAATTACCCAAAGATCTTAGATCCCAGTTCTTCAAGAACGCGTTTTTTTTTTTGTCGGACCCGGAGCCCCAAAAAAAACTTCGATGATCGATGGTCGGATTGGACCCTTTCCCAGGCAATCTGTGGAGAGTCATTGCCGACCAAGTCCACGCTTCGTTGGGTAAACGAGTTTTACGGTGTCTAACTATAGTTACAATGTGCCCCCCCCACTTACAAGTTGGTTTATAAACCCCATTAACTATAGCTATAAGTAAGATAAACCATAGTTATTGGAGTTATATTCCAACTTAGCAGCTATCTAGGGGGCCCACATTGTATCAGCTAATGAATTCATTGGTCAAATACTCTTAAATTGTCAAAGGGTTGAATCTCACGAAGACATTTGGGAAAAAGTGGTAAAGCCAATGCCATTTGTACCATCCTGCTGAGTCTCACCTTTGAAGAGGCCTTGTTCTAGTCACTAGTCCACTGTGCCAAGCGGTTAGACACTAACTAGTAGAAGTATAACCATATGTCTACTCACCACCTATCAATTGTCCATTCTTCATCTATATTGCTTAGTTATACACATGAAAAAAATGAACCTTTATAGGCTCAATATAGGATTATATGATGTTATATGGTTGTATAGTTATACCTTTTTTTTACCATGATGAACACCACAGTTATTTTGTCCATCCTTGTCCATCGTAACGCCAGGTCTTAAAGGGCCACGAGGCCCGGTTCTATGTTTCTTTTTTCCGGGGCAACAAATGGTGAATGGGGGTTAATGGTGATTTAATGGTGATTTAATGGGATTTACTTGTTGATTTCATGGTTTTAATGATGATTTTATGGGATTTAATGGTGATTTAGTGGGATTTCATGGTGATTTCATGGGATTGAATGGTGATTTAATGGGATGTAGTGACTATGTAGTGAGCTAAGTTGGTTTATGATTATAACTAGGAAAACCATAGGCTTCATGATGATTATAGTAGTTAATGGGTTTATGAACCAACCATGAGAATACAATTATACGAATTGTGAGGACCCATGCCTTACGAAATCGCGAAGTTGACCCACATCTAACTTGCTACATGTTTTGGCTTGGGATATAACTATAGTATTCATGGGGTTTATAAACCAACTTATAACTGCGGGGCCTCACCTTATATATATACACATATTTATAAATACATTATATATATATATGGTACTGTGAGACTATATGGGTTGATTTCTTGGGATTTTCACCTGGATGGTAAACATAATTCTGTTGATAACCTGTTTACATGGCATACATGGCGAAGGAATTCTGAGTAATGCACCACGAGGGATTGGATAGTTTCATGGTTTGTATTTGTTGCCACAAATGCGGAAAGTGCAAGACGCAGGGTATTTAAATGATTGGGGTTTTCAAAATAGCAACTGTTAGTTCATCAGGAGTTCCTACTTGACTGCTCACAAGGCCCAGGCTACACATTCCAGTGGTCCCATTCAGGTCCATGTTTAGACAATTATAATCTTACACTGAAAACATCGAACAGCATACCGAACAATTAGAATCTATAATAAAGAAAAACAAATCCATAATTCCTGTACTTAGATCCGGAAATTTGAACCTGGGCTGTGGTTGCAAACTCCACCAATTGATAAGTGGTAAACATCCCATCATTTATAGGGTTTCAACATGTTTCAAGCATCCTTTTGGTGGTGCAGGATTTCGCAACCATCCACAGTATGCATATTTTGTTGGGGCCAAGGTTTGAGATTATAAGAAAATGTGAGTGAACCAATGATGTGAGTGTGTCTGTTTTTGTCCGACAGTCCTTCAAAGCATTTCTCGGTGCACGGGGCGTAGGACGTAAGAGGAATCTCAGGACGGCCCACTGGGAATGGTAAGTTTTTTTTCCACCGAAAAAACATGGTGACTGGGGGATGGTTTATGTATGATTGTTTACACCACATGTTTTTAATTTATGTTTGTTTCTTGTGGTGAAAGTTTATCCACTTTTATGTATGATTGTAGCCACAAAAAATAAGCTGAGAGAATCCCAGTGTTACTGGACATTACCAGCTGCTGAATTAAGAGTGAATCCGAGAATTTGAGTCTCCCGGCCGTGCAGATTGAAGCAGCACCAGTGGCTGAGAATGAGGTGCTTGGCAGTTGGTGGATTGTTATTGAGAGAAAAACCGTAGAGTTCATTATATAAATTTCATTAACATCTGTGAGTGGGTGAACTAAGTGTTACTAACCCGTTGCAACCCATTTCCAACAATGTGGTGAAAACAATTGTGAAAACAATGTCATAAACCACCCAGTTTCCTGGGAATGGTAAGTTTATACCACCTATAAAAACGGTGATTTTCCTGGGGGATGGTAAAGTTTATGGCAGCCAGTTTTACCAACATTGGGGCAATTTGCTTCGCCAATAATTCACCAGTCAGATAAGTCCATGGCCCATGGGCACCACAAAAACACGTTGGGATAGCCGTGCTGGCCATCGTAAGTTGATCAGGTTTTGTGGGTCCCATTCTCCATGATTGTGGAACGCGGCTACACATGCGCTTTAATCCGACTCGATTTTTATGTCGTTTTGATTCAACATTACCCTCTGGTAAACTAACATGACTATTGAAAATTGTCATTTATAGCTGATTTGCCCATTTCAAACGGTGATTTTCAATAGCCATGTTAAATTACCAGAGGGTACACCCAATTCTTCCAATATATTCCAATGTAGCATCATCATGCTCCATGTTAAAATTGCCATTTTTGATGACTGTTGTAAATGTTCAGACACACCTAACTCCAGCATTTCTAGACCCTTCCCACCGTGTTTCTGATGCTAAACGGCCCAACACAGCAATAGCTGAAATGGGCCTTTCACCAAGCAGTCTGGGCTTTAGCCAAGCAAATGTGTTATCAAATTAATAGAAATAGAACGCATATTTATTTATGAATATGTTTAGCCGTTTTACATATGTTTTTTGATGTGAATCGAAAACAAACAGAAAAAACATCCATTATACTGCGAGATACTGCGAGCAAAGTCATGTTTGCTTGCGTAAGTTGCTTCTTACCATTTCCTACTATACTCTCCATTCACATGTGTGCAAGTAGATACTGGACGATACTGGGCACTGACCAATGTGGCAAGGTGACAAGGTGAGCAAGGTCCGACCTTCACAGACTCCATATAACTCTAAGTCTTTGGTGTGTGAATGTAAATGCTGTGGATCTACCATATATACGTATATATATATATTATAGACTACTATAGTATATGTAATATATGATTACAGATGCCTTTAAAGAAACACAAACTTGGTAATCTTGGTATGTATTTGTTTTAGAACTCACAGACGAACTTTAAATTCAAACGTATCATTTTTGTGCAGATGGAGAATTGCAACTAGATGTAAACAGATGTAACAGGATTTGTTTGCAGTTTGCAGTTGAATGTAACGATTCCCTGTGGGAAGAAATGTGTTTTCTTCTTCAGACAAACACCCGATGTGGCAGACACGCAGGCAAACAACGAAGATGAGACGGAGCAATCCCCGACCCAGCCACCATCTGGCGAAGACACGGGCGAAGACAAAGGAGAAGACAAGGGGGAAGATAATGGTGAAGACAATGCGAACGAGGTGCTCTGGGCTGGTTTCACTCAGAACCGAATGAGTCTAAGTGTTGACATGTGTTTGGCCCTTCTCACAGATTGGAACCTTTTCTGCTTTTCGTTTGTCCATGTACTTGATACTGGGGGCAGAATGTTCTACTTTTCGACAAAGGGTGTGGTATTTTTGTTGTGTGTTGACCTCATAGGCTATAACATGCCAGCACTCTAGTCTGAGCTTTCATTTTCTGCTGATGAAGCATACTTATCTACATACAATCTTCCTGTAGATTTTGTGTTGCTGTTTGCCTGTGACTTTTGGCTTTTGGGAACGGCTCCACTGGTGCAAACAAATTTGTGTCTGCCCCATAGTCCTAAGAATCTTGGTTGCGCTGCTTCTATGTGTGGAAAATGATTTATCCAGACATATTTATACATCTCAAAGATTTTCCAAATTTTGGCGCGTCCAACTCCATCTAAAACTGGTAGCGATTTCTTTCTTGTTGGCAGGTGATGTACGAGTCATTTTGTGAGCATGGCACCGAAAGGATTCCCTGTTGGTAGGAATGTGTATTCTTTTGATGACAAGCACTCACACGCAGGGCAACACCGAAGATGAGACGCAGCAATCGCAGACCCAGCCACCATCTGGGGAAGACAAGGGTGAAGACAAAGGTGAAGACAACACGAACGAGGTGCTTTGGGCCGATTTCAGAAACAAAGGACACGTATAGTCTGGACATTTTTGTCCACACATTGGAACTCTCGGTGCCTTTGAGTTCTCTCTGTAAGGGGGCATGGAGGCCTAATCATCCTGGAAAAGCATGATTAAATGATTGTGTACATACTGGATATCTGGATATTTCTAGATCATACTGGGGTCTTTAAGATTCTTGAAGACTAAGCTTAAAGATGTTTCTTGACAAGGACTAGACTGACTTAGTTTGATTTTCTTGCAGTTAACAGTCGACTGTTCTCGCTTTTATAATGCCGAGTGAGCAAACCTTGTTTTTTAGTTTGGTCTTTTCCTTCAGTCTTCCGGATTTTATTTGGGCTACTTGTCTTGACTTCAGCATGGTTCCTTCATTGCAATTCATTGCCAACATTTGCCAAACTTTGGGAACATCTAGCTGGTAGTGATTTGTTTCTTCTTGGCAAATAGTGTAAGGCGTCAGATTTGACCATGGCACAGGAAGAATTCCTTGTGGGTAGAGGATGTGGAGGCGTAAGGTCTGACGACAAATTCTTTCTCCACACCCTCATGTGGCAGACACGCAGGCAAACAACGAAGATGAGACGGAGCAATCCCCGACCCAGCCACCATCTGGCGAAGACAAGGGTGAAGACAAGGGCGAAGACAAAGGAGAAGACAAGGGGGAAAATAATGGTGAAGACAATGCGAACGAGGTGCTCCGGGGTGGTTTCACTCAGGAATGAAGGAGTCTTAGTTTTGACATGTGCTTGGCCCTTCTCACAGATTAGAACCTTTTCTGCTTTTGGCCTGTCCATGTACTTGATACCTTGGCAAAGTGTTTGCATTCGGACAAAAGGCATGGTATGTTTTTTTGTTGACCTCATAACATGGCAGTACTCTAGTCTACTTTTTTTGTTCTGCAGATGATGCATTGTATACTTAACTAGATATAGCCTTGCTGTAGAGTTGTTGCTGTTGCTGTTGCTGTTGCTGTTGCTGTTGCTGTTGTTGTTGTTGGTTGTTGGTTGTTGGTTGTTGGTTGTTGGTTGTTGGTTGTTGGTTGTTGGTTGTTGGTTGTTGGTTGTTTGTTGTTTGTTGTTTGTTGTTTGTTGTTTGTTGTTTGTTGTTTGTTGTTGTTGTTGTTTGCAATTTATATGTTTTTGCTTTTGAGAACGGCGACAAAAGCAAATGTGTGGTGCCCCCATAGTCCTAAGGATCTTGACTGCGCTCCGTGTATGTGAGAAGAATGATTTCTCCATCGCAACAATTTCCCAAACTTGGACGCATCATGGGCCCATTTAAGTCTATTCAAAACTGATAGGGATGTGTTTCTTGTTGGCAGCTGATGTACAGAATCATTTTTTGAGCATGACACCGAAAGGATTCCTGGTAGAAATGTGCAATCTTCTAATGGCAAACACCCACACCCCCAGCTGGCAACCATGCAGGGCAACGAAGATGAGACGCAGCAATCGCAGACCCAGCCACCATCTGGGGAAGACAAGGGTGAAGACAAAGGTGAAGACAACACGAACGAGGTGCTTTGGGCCGATTTCAGAAACAAAGGACACGTATAGTCTGGACATTTTTGTCCACACATTGGAACTCTCGGTGCCTTTGAGTTCTCTCTGTAAGGGGGTATGGAGGCCTAATCATCCTGGAGAAGCATGATTAAAGGATTGTGTACATACTGGATATCTGGATATTTCTAGATCATACTGGGGTCTTTAAGATTCTTGAAGACTAAGCTTAAAGATGTTTCTTGACAAGGACTAGACTGACTTAGTTTGATTTTCTTGCAGTTAACACTCGACTGTTCTCGCTTTTATAATGCCGAGTGAGCAAACCTTGTTTTTTAGTTTGGTCTTTTCCTTCAGTCTTCCGGATTTTATTTGGGCTACTTGTCTTGACTTCAGCATGGTTCCTTCATTGCAATTCATTGCCAACATTTGCCAGACTTTGGGAACATCTAGCTGGTAGTGATTTGTTTCTTCTTGGCAAATAGTGTAAGGCGTCAGATTTGACCATGGCACGGGAAGAATTCCTTGTGGGTAGAGGATGTGGAGGCGTAAGGTCTGACGACAAATTCTTTCTCCACACCCTCATGTGGCAGACACGCAGGCAAACAACGAAGATGAGACGGAGCAATCCCCGACCCAGCCACCATCTGGCGAAGACAAGGGTGAAGACAAGGGCGAAGACAAAGGAGAAGACAAGGGGGAAAATAATGGTGAAGACAATGCGAACGAGGTGCTCCGGGGTGGTTTCACTCAGGAATGAAGGAGTCTTAGTTTTGACATGTGCTTGGCCCTTCTCACAGATTAGAACCTTTTCTGCTTTTGGCCTGTCCATGTACTTGATACCTGGGCAAAGTGTTTGCATTCGGACAAAAGGCATGGTATGTTTTTTTGTTGACCTCATAACATGGCAGTACTCTAGTCTACTTTTTTTTCTGCAGATGATGCATTGTATACTTAACTAGATATAGCCTTGCTGTAGAGTTGTTGCTGTTGTTGTTGTTGTTGTTGTTTGCAATTTATAAGTTTTTGCTTTTGAGAACGGCGACAAAAGCAAATGTGTGGTGTCTCCATAGTCCTAAGGATCTTGACTGCGCTCCGTGTATGTGAGAAGAATGATTTCTCCATCGCAACAATTTCCCAAACTTGGACGCATCATGGGCCCATTTAAGTCCATTCAAAACTGATAGGGATGTGTTTCTTGTTGGCAGCTGATGTACGGAATCATTTTTTGAGCATGACACCGAAAGGATTCCTGGTAGAAATGTGCAATCTTCTAATGGCAAACACCCACACCCCCAGCTGGCAACCATGCAGGGCAACGAAGATGAGACGCAGCAATCGCAGACCCAGCCACCATCTGGGGAAGACAAGGGTGAAGACAAAGGTGAAGACAACACGAACGAGGTGCTTTGGGCCGATTTCAGAAACAAAGGACACGTATAGTCTGGACATTTTTGTCCACACATTGGAACTCTCGGTGCCTTTGAGTTCTCTCTGTAAGGGGGTATGGAGGCCTAATCATCCTGGAAAAGCATGATTAGATGATTGTGTTCATACTGGATCATACTTGGGTCTTTAAGTCCAACTTTCAAGATGTTTCTTGACAGGGACTGATTAGATGATATTAGATGCAATTTTGGTTGTTTTGCAGCTTACAGTTGACTATTCTGGCTTTGAGGTTGCCGACACTGGTGTGAGCAAGTGTTTTTGTTATGGTTTTGTTTTTTTTGGCTCAGTCTTCGGATTTTATTTGGGCTACTTGTCTTGAATTCAGCATGGTTCCTTCATTGCAACCCATTGCCAACATTTGCCAAACTTTGGGAACATCTAGCTGGTAGTGATTTGTTTCTTGTTGCAAATAGTGTAAGGCGTCAGATTTGACCATGGCACGGGAAGAATTCCTTGTGGGTAGAGGATGTGGAGGCGTAAGGTCTGACGACAAATTCTTTCTCCACACCCTCATGTGGCAGACACGCAGGCAAACAACGAAGATGAGGCGGAGCAATCCCCGACCCAGCCACCATCTGGCGAAGACAAGGGTGAAGACAAGGGCGAAGACAAAGAAGACAATGCGAACGAGGTGCTCTGGGCTGGTTTCAGTCAGAAAAGAATGAGTCCTAGTCTTGACATGTGCTTGGCCCTTCTCACAGATTAGAACCTTTTCTGCTTTTGGCCTGTCCATGTACTTGATACGGGGGGCAAAGGGTGTGGTATTCTTGTTGTGTAATGACCTGAAAGGCTATAGCCTATAGCATTGTACATTGTATAATTCTAGTCTAAGGGTTCATTTTGCTGCATATGAAGCATTGTATTGAAAGGAACCCTATAGATATAGTCTTGCTGTAGATTTGTGTTGCTGTTTGCACATAATTTTTGGCTTTTGAGAACGGCAACTCCTGTGCAAGCAAATATGTGGTTTGCCCATAGTCCAAAGGATCTTGGCCGTGCTGCTTGCATGCATGGCACCGAAAGGATTTCCTGTTGATAGGAATCTGTATTCTTTTGATGGCAAGCACTCACACGCAGGGCAATAACGAAGATGCGACGCAGCAAGCGCAACCCCAGTCTGGTGAAGACAATGTAGAAGACACGGGTCAAGACAACGCGAACGAGGTGCTTTGGGGTTGTTTCACTCTGAAACCAAAGAAGTCTTAGTCTTCACATATCATTGGACCTCCTTAGACATTAGAACTCTCGGTGCCTTCGACTTTTTGAGTTCTCATGTAAAAATGGCTTGTTGGCCAAGTGATCTAAGGTGATCAAAGCACCAAATAGCAAATATATACGGGGACTAGACTTGTTTGTTTTGCAGCTCACAGTCAACTTTTCTCGCTTTTACAACACCGACAGGTGTGAGCAAGTGTTTTTGTTAAGGTTTTGTTTTTTTTGCTCAGTCTTCCGGATTTTATTTGGGCTACTTGTCTTGACTTCAGCATTGTTCCTTTATTGCAATTCATTGCCAACATTTGCCAAACTTCGGGAACATCTAGCTGGTAGTGATTTGTTTCTTGTTGGCAAATAGCGTAAGGCGTCAGATTTGACCATGGCACGGCAAGAATTCCTTGTGGGTAGAGGATGTGGAGGCATACGGTCTGACGACAAATTCTTTCTCCACACCCTCATGTGGCAGACACGCAGGCAAACAACGAAGATGAGACGGAGCAATCCCCGACCCAGCCACCATCTGGCGAAGACAAGGGTGAAGACAAGGGCGAAGACAAAGGAGAAGACAATGCGAACGAGGTGCTCTGGGCTGGTTTCAGTCAGAAAAGAATGAGTCCTAGTCTTGACATGTGCTTGGCCCTTCTCACAGATTAGAACCTTTTCTGCTTTTGGCCTGTCCATGTACTTGATACGCGGGGCAAAGGGTGTGGTATTCTTGTTGTGTAATGACCTGAAAGGCTATAGCCTATAGCATTGTATAATTCTAGTCTAAGGGTTCATTTTGCTTCATATGAAGCATTGTATTGAAAGGAACCCTATAGATATATTTCTTGCTGTAGATTTGTGTTGCTGTTTGCACATAAATTCCTTGTGGGTAGAGGATGTGGAGGCATATGGCCTGACGACAAATTCTTTCTCCACACCCTCATGTGGCAGACACGCAGGCAAACAACGAAGATGAGACGGAGCAATCCCCGACCCAGCCACCATCTGGCGAAGACAAAGGAGAAGACAAGGGGGAAGATAATGGTGAAGACAATGCGAACGAGGTGCTCTGGGCTGGTTTCAGTCAGAAAAGAATGAGTCCTAGTCGTGACATGTGCCTCTCGCAGAGAAGGCCTTTAATTTCACCAAGGTTTCAACTTCTCACCCCCTTGCCCTCTCCACACGGAGAGAAGGAACCAAATTTTGCTCCTGACATGTCCTTGGGCCTGATGATATGTTTGAAGCCTCCCTTTCTTGGACTTGCAATGGCATGGAGGTCAAGTGATTTTCAGGAACAAGAATTTCTTGAATCATGTATCTACAGACTGCGAGCTGGAAGACATTGAAAGACCATTTTTGTTTTTGGCCGATCATCGTGTGGAGAATGCCGCGTTTGTTCCGTACTCTGATTTTTGTTTGGGCTACTTGCATCGTTTTTATGGTTAGTTCATTTCATATCATTATGTCAACATTTGCCACAAGTTGGGACTAGGACTAGGTCCAATCTGGTAATGACAGATTTTTTGTTGGCAGGTAATGCAAGGAGTGAGTAGAGGATTCCCTGTTGTACGGCTTATTTTCTGATGAGAAATTGTCTCACACCCCCAGCTGGCAAACACGCAGGGCAACAACGAAGATGAGACGGAGCAATCGCAGACCCAGCCACCATCTGGGGAAGACAAGGGCGAGGATCAGGGCGAAGACAAGGGTGAAGACAAAACGAACGAGGCGCTTTTGGGGTGGTTTTACTCTGTAGAAACGAACGAGATTTTACTCTTGAAATGCCCTAAGAGACCTTCAGGCCGTATCACCTTTGCTTGCTTTTCGATGTAAGTGGCAAGGAGGCCAATCTGGGGAAAACAAGCGCCATTCTGTTCAACCAATGGGAGCTAGTTTCCCGCAGTCCTTGGCCGATATTGGATTGATGGTTTTGTTTGCAAATAGGATACTGGGATAGCGGATAGCCTTTCAATAGCAATAATGGACATCCATTTGAACTGGGGGGTATATTTTCAGACAAACCCATATCTAGAAATCAGACAGGACATCTCCTAGCTCATAAGCCAGATATGGTGGCCAAGAAAAGGAGGGCATTTTTTAAATCGCAAAGCCATAGCTGTCATCAGGCTGTCATCCGTGGCATGCTGGAAAATCCTCAGTTCGATAGAATTTGATGGTCCCCATGGGGCCCCGGTATACATGCCAACATCGGGGGTATATTGATGGTAAATGTTACCATATATAGCATACATGGATCCTATGGGGTCATTGATTTTCCCAGTTTATAAAAACTTACTGGCGCGTTAAACACGTAGGGTTGCTGGATGGCTTGCTGGGGCAATGGGATGATGATTGATTGATGGTTAGCCGTTGTGGATCATAAACCCGAAAATTCCCTGCGTAAAACGCACCAGTAAGAAAACCTAAACATATTTTAAATATGTTTAAATGAACCATAGCTGGTGTAACCTAAACATCTTTGGTTCGGGGATGTTCACGAACATCGCTACGTTTGAGGACGCCGGTGGGTGGAGATTCCCACGACATGTACCGCCTGAGGCCGTCGTTGGCCCTCCAGAGTTAGAGGCCTGGGTATGCCTCCTAGGGCATGGGTGGTTTCATCAGCTAAAAGGGTGATCCAATGAGATATCATAGGGATAATATATATGATACATATATAATATATATATATAAATATAGTTATATATATATAGGCTTAGGTAGTATATATATATATATTATATGTATGTATATATATATTATAAGATATTTCACCATACTAGATGTTTGGGTGAATGAAATTGGAAAATACCTACAACATTTTGCAATTCTCATAGGAAACATGTTGAAAACACATGGGCTTCGGGGATTTTAAGATGTCCGGTGACTTGGTTTTGCCGTTGTTAGGGGAATGTACCGTCTGGTTTTTGATCGTAGCGAACTGGGAAATCACCATTTTCAATAGGTAATTCATCATGTTTATCATCTATAAATGGGTCACATTTTCCATAGCTACGTTAAATGACCAAAGGGCAACTACAATATTCATGTGTGTATAAACCAACAAACCAACAAACACAACTGCGGGGACATGATGGACTGGTCCGGGAAGCTGTGCTATAGGAACCAAAATCGAAAACTTGTCTAAGAATGGCACGTGGGGTTGAACTCATGTTGCGCTGAGCATGTTTGAAATTACTTTTAAAAGTGCCCCAAAAATTAACAATGCACAAATTTAGTTTCATATTCACCACCTTTCACCACGGTCCCATCAATTTTCAGAGAATACACTCCAAAACTTCCCCATTAGCACAAATGAATACAAATATACCATTATACCATGTATCCCCATTCATGGCAATTCCAACAACAATACTAATTATTATTATAGGTGAGGACAAGTTGGTTGACAAACCCACTAGTAACCAAGTTACACAAACCCCAGAGTTAACCAAGTTCACCAAACTGGGATAAATCAGCCAAAAAACCAACAAAATCCGTATTTTTTGTTGGTTGAAATCACATGTTCCTATGGTTTTCCTATGGTTTTCCTATGGTTTTCCTATGGTTTTCCTATGGTTTTCCCATGGCTTCGGTTTCGGCCAGGAACCTCACCTTGCAGAAATGTCCCATTGTTTGTCCAGCGCTAGGCTTCGAGCCCTACATTTGAAGCAGCGGAAAAGGCTGGGCTGTCCGCGATGTAAAAGATGCGATTTGATGAGTGGAATCTGATTGAATTTTGCGTAAGTTGGTTTACGGTTGTTGTAGTTGTAGTTAATGGGATTTATAAACCAACCCATAAGTGGGGGGCACCGCCTTTTAACACTTCTGGCGTTTTTTTTTTGCAAAAAAACATACTGTACACAAAATAAGAGGAATCTTACCAAAAACAGACGTAACCCGGGGATACGCTCCATGAACATAGATCTTAAATGGTTTTCATCCGGATACATATTGTAATATTTATCGACAGAAGCATGCTTAATCATGATGTGTTTGTTAACCTTTAAAACAAAAGACACATCCATTAAGGGAAAACAGTGATACCACAATGTTTGTTTGTCTTCCATTAATTGTTTTAAGGTTTTTGTCAAAATCCCAGTAGATGTGTTCGAAACAGCAACTTGCGAATATTATTGGTGACAGCTCCCATCATTATCTCTTCATATTTCTTACTCTCCAACTCTATACTAATGAAGAGATAATGATGGGAGAATGAAGAGATAGTAATGATTATATTATTGATTACTCTTGATTGGATAATGATTATATTATGGTGACGGGTTTGAAATCCGTAAGAGAAAGTAACTACGTCGGTCAATGGTTGAATCCAAAGTCTTTCAGAGTCAGAACATGTCGATGAGGCAAAAGCGGATGGTACCCGGATGGTACCCGGATGGTACCCCCCAATAGCTGGTTTCTGGATGTGTATTCCTCTAGTCATCTGGTAATTTCATACAGTTATGGCCATTTATCAGCTATAACTGGTTATAAGTGGGATTACATATACATTCTATAAATGGGGTTATAAGTACTTATATATAACTGGTAAAGCGCCATAACTGTAGGTTTTTGAGTTTTGACCCATCCATGGGATCAGGTCATGAGGTATACCTCGAACATAGTGTAAGTGACACACACATATTGACCATTTTTTGTATGCCGGTCGTTGGTCGTGGGCCTTTCGCAAAGTGTTGCTGGGCATCACAGGTAGCCCTGAACAAAAACGCTGTTTGTCGTGGCAGAGCGCGGTCTGTTGGGACAAACCGGACGAACTCTGGGATTTCCTCGAGAGGGCTTGCCCATGCAAAGTGCATTATGTGCATTGTCGATCATTGTCACAGTGCATGAGGGCAAGTCATGAGTCATTTGATGTGCTTAGTAAATGGATGGGCCATGGAGTTAGTGAAAACTAGTTAGTAGCCATGGATTATTTCATGTTGGGTATTTTTGAGGGTAACAAATCCCCAGTTACTAACCGGGAATCGGCAACATCCCATGGAATCAACGTTCGGCCCCGAAAAAATGTGACCTGGAAAGCTTTGGACGCCTTGGAGTTCCCGATGTTGCTGCGATTCAAAAACATGGCGGGGCGAGCCGCGCGCGAGCCGCTGAGATTTACAATCTATTAAAATGTATTCGTTAAGAATGTATATATATATATATATTACACACGTGTATTTATAACTATTTATAACTGTATAATCTAGAAGCATGTAGATATATATATAATAGTTCCTGGCAAATAACATATATAATATACATGTATGTGTTTTAAACATGCGCTTTCTTTGTTTGCATTCACACATTTTGTTTGGATCCATGGAGTGTCTTGGTGTATGTATATATATGTATATATATATATATGTATATTGTTTATATAGTACACATCGGCCCCCCCCAAGTTTTAAATCGGCTTCAAAGACTTCTACAGTAGAATCAGCTTAGCAAGGATCATAGCTCAAAATATTTTCAGTAAATTCCCATTGTTGCTGGTTTCCTACAAGGCGGTGCCTTATAGCTAGAGCCGGTCTAAAACTGTAATGCAACTGGGTTTGTGGCAGGTATATTGGCATGGTTTTTCTGGTGGGAAACTTCACTAAGACAACAAACATTTCAATTTGTAGCACAGAACTCTCTTTCTGGATGATCAAATTTCAAATTTGTCGGTATCCTGTGGTGGGCACCACGCATAAACCGTGTAACATCCCATGAAATCAGCATGTTTGTTGGTTACATAATTAAATCACATTCAATCCCCATTAAATCATATTGAATATCATCATGTTTGCTGGTGATATCTCATAAAATCGTTCTTAAATGTCAAATCCCATGAAATCCCATAAAATCCCATGAAATCATCATGTTTCATTGGCTAAAGTCCCTTAAACCACATTTTTTGTTGGTAAAACCCTCATGAAATCAGAATTTTCACATGGCATCTGCAAGGTGGTGCCCCAGTTTTAGTTTTTTTTTTAACTAGGCGAACTAACTATGGTTTATGATAGATATGTCATGATATATCATGATATATCTAGTATTCATGGCATTCATGGGGTTTAGAAACTAACATTCACATCACTGGGGCACCAGGAAAACTGCTAAAATCCCTGAAAAATCCGCATGTGCTCTGTTGGCAACTGATTGGTGGTTGCAAACATTCTTTATTTTCCCCAATAGTTGGGAATAATCATCTCAACTGACTAATATTTTTCAAGATGCTTAAAACCACCAACCAGTCAAAAGTCCCTTCCAAATCACAATTTTTCATGGCAGCTGTCCTTCATTGCCATGACCAGGCTGCAGATCTCAGCGCCGCCGTTCCCGACGACGACTCGGTTCATGGCGCTGGGACCCCCAGATCGAACCCTGTTTTCCAGGATCCTAAAATGGAGGTACTTAGATGGGCCATGGGATCAGCGATTTATGGTTAGTAACTGAGGATTTGTCCCCCCCCCTAAATCCCAATTAGAATCCATTCACTAACTAGTTAACCAACTCCATGGCCCATCTAAGTACTGAACCAGAAAAAAAGGTTGTATTTTCTAAGGATATTCCCTGAAAATTAGCATTGAAAAATAGTCCTTATATATGGTAGGTTCTTCCAGTTTAGGTTCCAGAAATGGCCATTGACATTTCCATGTTTCCAACTAGTTTGTCTATTTTGCAGCTGCTATGGGGAGGTGTAATGGTGTTGATTTGGTAATTCCTTACATTCACTCTAGAATTTCGGTGAATTGGGGTGGACTTATATAGCATGATGAAGTTAGCAAACATGAGTATTCTAGTGTGGACTTGACCAACTGAAATTATGATTTTACCCCTGTGTATTGGATTTCCAATCCTATGTGGTGAGCTTGGCCAGAAACGCATGCGAGATGAAACGCCAGATAGCATGTTTTAATATATGATATGTGTGCTGTGGGAGAACATGTCAGGTAGTATGTCACCATACGTACAAGTCAAATAAGATGTCAGTTTGCCTGTCAGATTGAATGTCAGGAATCACACGAAGCAAAGTAAGTTGACATCCTTTAAAGAAGTCCTTGATTGATTGAGTAGGGTGTGTCAGTCTCATGGGTACCACAAAGGATATCCCTGGAAAGTGTTGAAAGTCAGCTGTTGGTTTGTCAAACGCTTAAATTATAGATATGTCCACCGGACATGTAACTATTGCAGTTATATATCCCACATGCTCCATGTAAGGAATGTTTACCTACATTTGAGCGATTTTGGGGGTAAATGTAGGTAAATATTCCAGCACCATGGAGCATCTGGGTATGGAAATTTGCATGTTTTGCGGGCTGCGCACATTCTGCTGTAGATATTTTGCAACATGTGATTTAGGTATGAGACACAGAAGCAACACAACAATGAGGTATGGATAGGTATGGTATCCGATGACGATGGAAAAGCACTTCTGAACTGGGTGTGAATAGTATCCCAACACTTACAAAAGCAGGTACCACTTTGGAAAGGAGTTTGTCAAGCCAAGCGTTTGGTTTATCATAGACATACCATTTGGCTATTTAACATAGCCTTGGAAAATCACAATTTTTAATAGGTAAACCATCTATAAATGGGCCATTTTCCATGGCTATGTTAAATAACCAGAGGGTATTCCCTATTAAATTGCCATGGCGTGATCATTCCCCTTCGGAAAAAGCATCATGGCGAAGGAAAAGATAGGGCGGGGATTTCCCAGGTGGTCGCCATGTTTTTGATGACCGAAGGGTAGTCTATGACTGTTCCAGACATGCCATTTTAGAGGCCAAAAAATCGTCCATTTCCATTTCCAGGCTTCGCTTGGCCAAGCTGTTTTTTTAAGCCATGATGTTGTTGTGAAATCAGTATAGGGTGATGTCCCCCCAGCTAACAGTTGATCATAAAGTCATCAACTATAGTCTATAGTATAGTCTATAGTTATATTTCCCATAATAAACCATAGTTCAGTTGTTATAGTTATAAAATCTACTATAGTTAATCAACTATAGTTATAAAATCTAGTTCTTATAGTTCTTATATAAATCAACTTAACTATCTACTTATGGGGTCTCACCTTGTACCATAGTTAACTATATCCCAAGCCGAGGACTTCACGACGGATTGTCCTCAGCCAAAAGTTCCAAAGGCCTACCGTTTGACGAAGAGAGGCTACCGGATTCAACGGGATCATCCATGGTTAAATCTGTGGAAATCATGATGGTTATAGAATGTTATTAATGGGATGGTTAATTAATGGTTATTAATCTAAAGCATAAACCATTAATCTAAACCACATTAACCATTAATAACCACCATTTATAACTATAATTAATCTAAATCATGTATGGTTAATGATGGTTAATGATATGGGATTTCATGGGATTATTATAATTTGTCCAGATATATGGCATATCACATTCATGATGGATATACCCTCTGGATAACATTTAATGGATTTTTCATGGGATTTAATGGGATTGCACCAAGAAAAATGGTGATTTACTGGGATTTAATGGGATTCACCCTCTGGTAAACAACATGGCCGAACTATTCAGGTTAGTGAATTATTATAATTTACCCAGATATATTGCATATCACATTCATGGTGGATATACCCTCTGGTAAACATACAAAAAACTGATGGGAAAATCACCAGCTTTAATAGGTAAATCAACTATTTCAACAGGCCATTTTCAATAGCTATGTTAAATTACCATAGGGTAATATGGATATTATGGTTATAATGTGGAATATGGGATATTATATGGTTAACAATGATTCATGGTGATTAATGTGTGTTCTTTGGGGGGATTACTGGTGATGAATGATGATGAATGTGGTTAAAACAAAGCCATAAACTACCCATGACTGGGATTGGTAAACATACCACCTATATATAAAAATGGTGATTTTCCTGGGGGATGGTGCAGATGACATTGTTTTAACATGTTTGAACCACATTTTCATCAATTCTCCAATGGGATTTATGGGATCATCAAGTCGTTTTTTTATACTATCTTCTGGTAATTTGTTACATAGCTATTGAAGCCATGGCCATAGAAATAGTGGATTTACCCATTGATAGCATGGTGATTTTCCATAGTTATGTAAACGTTTACCAGAGGGTATCTTCTGTGTTTATGATCTTGAAGTAATTAAGTAATTTATCCCATCTCCCTAATTAATTAAACACCCCAATTGCATGGTTCCAATGGAATGTGGAAATTCCTATTTTTACCATGGTTTCTAAGGGTGTGTTTAATATTAGCGGGAAAGGATTATTTGGATTTGTCCACCTCTTTCCTTTGGTGCCTTCGAATGACGACTACTGAGTACAGCTTGATGGTCTACCCATATCTACTCTATGGCAACATTTGTTTACAGTGCGATCTTCATTCAAATCCTATCACACGTGTAGGTCAAATGCCGTTGTTTGCCTTTGGACTCCTTGGAAAAATATGATTTTGATGAGTAAGTCCTTTCATTGGTTTGTATATAGGATTTTTCCGGTTAAAATCTTGCATGTCTATTTCGGTGAAATCGTGTTTTATCTGGACTTTCGCCAAAAAATGCAGAGGGGACCCCATCGCCCTGCTGGGTCTCAGATCCACTACATTACATCAAATGTGTTTGTTTTGGAAGGGAAAGGACATATTTTTTCAGAGAGCGCTTGAGACTCCAGGTGGTGTGGGTAAACTATGTAAGCCGTGATTTTACTGTTGATTGGGGGTTATTGCTTCGCAACTTGATGCAGAAACAATTTATATTCCACACAATATGTATTGTTCAAGGTGGTATCCAAAGTTAGCAGGCTGGCCCCATGATCATTCCATAATCATTGACTAAATTAGATGGTTCTTGATTGTTAAAACCCCTATAAAATTACCCTCTGGTTATGGAACATAGCAAATGGACAATGGCCAAAATTCATGGATGATGTATCATGATGTCCCTATATATATAGTATTTATATAAATATAATACTGGATAAGAATAGGGATTTTCCATAGAAAACCGTTAACAGCAAACCGTTAAGTAACCAACGGGCTACCAGTTGTTGACCGCACTCTCTGTGGGTCTCAGGCTTTTGGAGCCCGCAACACGTTCTGCCACAGAAATTCACCGTGACGCAATGTGCAGAGACGTGTACCTTGATGGCGAAGTTGGTGCGTTTATAACACGAATTTCACTACAAGGTGGTGCCCCCAAAGTGATGTTTGTTGATTTATAGTCCCATTAACTGTAGATATATCTATCATAAGTCCTACTTATTAGAGTTATAAACCAACTTAGCTATCTTGGGGGCACCACATTGTATGGTAGATATATCTACCCCGCTCCATGCTGGAATATTTACCTACATAACTGGGCCATTTTGGGGGTAAATGTAGGTAAATATTCCAGCACCATGGAGCATCTGGGTATAGTTAATGGGATTATAAATCAACTTAGAAGTTCTTTTATAAACCCCAGTAAGTATAGCTATAAGTACAATAGACCATAGTGACATTGGAGTTATAAACTGACTTAGCTATCGTTTGGGGGCCCCACTTTGTAGTACTTTCATTTTTTTTGGGGGGGGTATTCCCCGGAATATTCACTTTCATGTTTTTTTTTGGGAGGTATTCCCAGTTTGTCTTTCCTTTTTCTGGATGTCATAGATGATGTATATTGCATATGTACATATATTACATCCTGTATATATATATATATATAGCAATCGTTAACCGAGTGATTTAAACCAACTTTGCTACGGAACTGGGGCGCCACCTTTTCAATAGAGTTTCGAGTTTATCGGTTTATTTCGGTTTGCTGAGGTAGTCCCATTCGACGATTGATTGAAAGATTGGGGGCCTTCAATCTCTACATACTTTTTTTTTCATAGTTCTGGGTGAATTATAACGACCTCACTGCGACCTCACTGGAAATCACGGTTAGTAAGGGAAATCATCCCCAAATGGCCTTAATTAAGGTTAGTAAAATATTATAATTTACCCAGATAGTCAGATAGTTCGTTTTTTTTATGGTAGCACGGAATCATGGTTGCATTAGGAACTTCAGTTTTGTTGGTGAACAGTTTGTGTATATGTTTGCCACCTGCAACAAGCAGGACACACTGTGCTCAAAAGCCTTGTTGCTTGATGATTACATGCAGCTATGCTACCCACTATTGGGATTATTTGTGTATTATACATATATATATATACATGTATATACATATATGCACATATAATATATGCACATATAATATATGCACATATAATATATACATATATAATATATATACATATATAATTTATATACATATATAATTTATACATATATATAATATAACATGCAAATATATATATATATATACATATATACATTTATATATATATTTATATATGTATCATGTATCTATATATTATATATACATATATATATATATATGTATGTATACTACCCCAACCCGAACTTCATCAGTCATGACGCCTTACGCGGCGTCTTTGTGGCGCAGCGTCATCCCCATTTTTCCGAGGCACTCAGATGGAGAAGAGGTGGAAGACGTGCTCGCAGTTCAGCTTCCAACCCTCCGGGGAATGCAGCTCTACCGCAAGTTTAACTGTGAGTCATTGTTTTTTTTGCAATTTGTGGGGATAGTCCGGGGGAATTTGTCCACCCTTCTAGATATGAATAAACTTTCTGATTTAATATGCTATAAGTCTTCAAGTGTTCTGAAAGAATGTGTTGCCCCAGGTCGTTTGCGAAGGATGGGTTTATCGACCCGCCACTGGGGTGAGTGCCGCATTTGCCATCAAATCTGCCAAATAATGTGGTTTAGTACCAACACTAAAGGAATATATATATATATAGTCATCAAAGACTGTTATTCTAGTCAATTTTATATCACTGATTCTCCAAAAAAACAAACTATATATTATGTTCCCCATATTTTGTAAAATCCTGTGAAGATCTGACCCTTTTTCGGTCGCCTCGAAAAAAGAAGACCCAGGCAGTCTGAGCGTCCCAACGGCCAAATTTGCGCGCACGGATTTGTGCATCTACGGCTTTGAGAAGGCGATGGCGGCGATGGGGATCTCTGGAAACCCCATGAAATCACTCAGACCGGAATCCATTCCATCAACCCCCATGAAATCACCACATCTTTGTCGTTTCAACCCCTATATTTGCCCAAATAAACACAAGTTTTACAGCCTTGTTCAATCAACTGAAATCAACTTAGATATCAAATTAAATCCCCCTATCATCCAACCATCATCCATCATCCTATATCTGCAGCCATGATGGTCAGCCTTTTCAACCGACCTTTTTCAATCAATCCCTGCGTCCCTGCGTCCCTGCGTCCTGAGCTCCATTTGTCATCGGTAAGTCATCATGTGTATCATCTATAAATGGTATGTTACGAGTCGTGGTGCCCCCATAGCAAAAATCATAGGAAAACCAAAAGAAAAATGGGGATTTCATGGGATTGATAGCTGACTTATGATAGCTAAGTTGGTGCACATAACTCCAATGGCCATGGTTTATAGATGATATATCTATACTTAACGGGATTATAAACCAACAAACATAATTTGGGGGGCAACACCTTGTATATACAATGTGGGGTCCCCGGTGGATAGCGTTCAGCTGGGTGCCACATAACTCCAATAATTAACTATGATTTATGGTACGCAAATAACTATAGTATTCATGGGGGTTTTTAAACTAACCTATATATATATAGGAAAATTATAACGACCTCACTGCAACTTCACTTATAAGGGAAATCATCCCCAAATGTCCTTAATTCAAGTTAGTGAAATATTTTGATTTACCCATATATATATATATATATGTATATTGATATAAAATAAGATTGTGATTGTGGGTTTACATAGCTAAATTTTGGGGCACTTGCCTCAAAGAGGCTAGTGCCAGGGGATTTAGCCTGGGAATAAAAGCCATGAAACTCGCCATCATAGAAATTGAGCTGGGTTATAGCGGGATGGTATTTATCGAGATAATTATACAAATGCCATACGTGAACAAAGACAGGATCTATCTATTTACCTAACTATCTACCTACCTATCTACCTATCTATCTATCTGTGTGTCTATCGATCTATCTATCTTATTTTATCTTATCTTGTCTTGTCTTTTCTGATCTGTTCTTATCTTATCTGATCTTATCTGATCTTATCTGATCTTATCTTGTCTTATCTTATCTTTTCTTATCTTATCTTATCTAATCTTTTCTTATCTTATCTATCTTATCTTATCTAATCTATCTATCTAGCTAGCTAGCTAGCTAGCTATCTACCTATCTACCTATCTATCTGTCTATCTATCTATCTATCTATCTATCTATCTATCTATCTATCTATCTATGTCTATCTATTGTCTATCTCTGTCTATCTATCTATCTATCTATCTACCTATCTATCTATGTCTATCGATCGATGATCTATCTTATATCTTATCGATCTTATCTATCTTATCTATCTTATCTATCTTATCTATCTTATCTATCTTATCTATCTTATCTATCTTATCTATCTTATCTATCTTATCTATCTTATCTATCTTATCTATCTTATCTATCTTATCTTTCTTATCTATCTTATCTATCTTATCTATCTTATCTATCTTATCTATCTTATCTTTCTTATCGATCTATCTATGTATCTATCTATCTATCTATCTATCTATCCATCTATCTATCTATCTATCCATCTATCTATCTATCTATCTATTTATCTATCTATCTATCTATCTATCTATCTAATTATTCATTTAGTTTCTTATTTATATTTATATTCTTATTTATTCATTTATGTTTTTTATTTATTGATTTATTTATTGATGTATTTATTGATTTATTATCGATGCTCTTTGATTTTAGACCTACCTGGAGAAAACAGGTTGCTTCTACTCCTACAGTGCCACATTGATTTGTCCATGCCCCCAAATCAAGTTGATTATATAGTTGTTTTCTTTTGCCAATGACGCATTGTTAATTCCACATGTGTGATGGTTCTATCCTGTGCATATATATTTTTTGTGGCGCATATGTGCCATGGTCAAAACCAGGGCAAGTTGTTTTTGAATTTAGTGGACGGTCATCAATCCATGTTCATGATAATTTATCTTCCCCGTGAAAAAAAAAAGGATCCCATTCATCACGGGGGGATAACATACATTTTGAATTTGAGCATGGCACTGATATTCCCCAAAACCGCACAGAACTGCTTGGAAGTGCAGTTCCAGTTCTTTCTGTGGAAACATATTTTTAAATATATATATATATGATTGGTGGTTTTGAACATTTTTTATTTTTTCATATATTGGGAAAAATATTCCGAACTAGTTAATTTTTTCCAGAGGGGTTGAAATCACCAACCAGTATATGTATTCCCCATAGTTATAGGAGTTATATCCCAACTAACAGTGGGGGTTTACCACCGTTCTTATACCCACAACCCCAACTGCACCAGTACAGTACTGGTAGGTTAACTAAGGCTTGTGGTAGATATATCAACCTATAGATATCTACAGTTCATGTGGTTGCAATGTGGGGCCCCAAATGTGTCGCTAAGTTGATTTAGTTCACTACAATAACTGTGAGGTTCAGAGGGATACCCTCTGGTAATTGAACATAACTATGGTTCAAATCACCATTGAAATAGTGAATTTTCCCATGAAAAAGAGGTGGATTTTCTATGTTTACCAGCGGGTATATCATGCTATATCCAACTGGTTGGATCTTTATTCGGGGGCCCCTCAAAGGGGACCCACTGTGCCTGTCAGGACTCTGGGGTGAAGTCACAAATCTGGAATTCACCATGGAATATTTCTATTATAAACCTCTATTAGATAGATCATGATACATAAAAATTGCTGGTTGGTGGTTTGGAACCCCAACTGGCTCATATCTTTCAGATGGGTCAACCACCAACCAGATTCGATGGTGATATCTATCATGGAAGATCACCTCATGGTCAGTGGTTCTTTGTTTCCTTTTGACGGTCACGCTGCGGCGGCGTCTTCAAAAAGCCGCCAGGTGCGTGCCGACGAGGAGCTGTGGTTTTGTCGTAGTTTTTTTTTGCGGACAGTTACAGACAATCAAGGAACTATAGATTGTTTGGATAGCTTAGATATAATGATTTAGAAAGAAAGCAAACTAAATTCTAGGTAATACCTAGGCATTTCGCAATCTATAGCCAAGGATTTAGGAAGGATCTTAGATTGTTCCTAGCTACTTAGTTGTAGTTATTATCAATCTTTTGAAACAGTATTGTAGTTGTTGCCAACCTTGTTGGAAGTAAATCATTTTACATCAACCAAACTGTAGTTATAATTATGAAATTATACAACGTTCATAATCCGAGTTTGTATATTAGGTTTATGTCAACAGTCGGCTTATATCAACAATCATGCTATTATATAGCAACGAAGATGCCAAACGGATGCCAAAATTGACTTGCCAGGACTTGCCATAAAAGGGTGATCCAAACAATGGGCTCATGGCAATGGTTGTTCCACCTTACATGATGAAGAAACTTGTTTCAACTCTTTTACTATCATTTGCTAGCCACATTCATTTCAGTGTATCATCCAAGTCCTTTGTTTTGTACAATGGATTTTACAATGGTAACCCCGGATCATGAACCCCTGGGTGGTTTAGTGGGGTGGTAATATTCCAAGAGCAGAATAGAGCAGATCAGCATTTTGGCGACGAAACTCTTTGGTCATCATCCAGAGATATGGCAGTGTGTCAAAACCTTGTACCCCTGGTGAACATCAAAATAGCTGGTAAATGGATGTTCATCCCACTAAAAATGGTATTAATAGGTATTGATCCATACCCATATCTAGAGATGAGATTAGCAATACCACTTGTTTTCACTTCCCAGACCTCGCTTTGGTGGTCAGAATACTCTGCCGGAATTCGCACTTGAAGTTATACCCATTAACAATCCCAATTGCACCCCCAAGCACAGGGCACAGATTAATTCAACAGAAGAATCCGCTGATAAGGTTCTCAGGACTATTCTCAGAGTAAATCGGTCTGATTGAATCTTCCGTTGTTTGCACTCCCACATCGATGTGACTCATTGATAAAAGGATTTGGGTCCATAAAGTTATATCGAGCTATCAGTGCATCAGAGTATTATATACATCCCCATTATACAACATTAGATCCCAAACTACTATCAGATCCTTCTATATCCCTATAACATTGTATCCCCATATCAACATCATATATAACATCATATCCCTCTATATACACAATATATATATATAAAGATCATGTTCCCTTACGATGTCGGACATGTTGATCTTGGTACACACAGATGGGACAGAAAGTGCAGGACAAAGGTGGAGAGAAAACAACCACGGCCATCTCGACACAATCGACTGACAAGAACGAGGTGCGGAACAAGGTGTCCCCCGTGAAAAATTGGTAAGCTGCCATTTTTGTGTAGTACAAATGGAGTACAATGACATACAGATATCAATGGGAATTTCAGGATCCTAAAATGGAGGTACTGTACCATATAAGACCATATTTTGCTGGGATATTCGCTTACATAAGCCTAAAAAGTAGGCCTTATATATGGTAGGTACCTCCAATCAATCGCTTCCTGACATGGCCAATTTCTCATGGGTCAATGGATGGTCTATGGGCATATAGATGTGAGCGTTTGAATTCCGCGCGCTGTCGGAAACGAAAAAAAAAACACACAGTTAAGCTAAGTTGGTTTATAACTCCAATAACTATGGTTTATGGTACTTGTAACTATATAGTTAATGGGGTTTATAAACCAACGTTCACATCACTGGGGGGCCCCACATTGTAGAAACTCAGATGGATTTTCAATCCAAGACCCAGCACTGAAATAATCCTCTGATTACATCTTAAAAGGTGGTGCCCCATAGTTTGCTAAGTTGGTATTCATGGGGTGAATCTAAACCAACAAACATATGATTAAGTCATATATTAAGTTCATTAACATCCATGAAATCAGCATTCAAGTCCCTTTTCAAATCACCATGTCTTGTTGATTAAATCCCATTAAATCACACTATTTCTACGTATATAAATACCATTAAATCACCATTAAATCCCATTAAATCACCATTTTACATTTTACATGTTCCCTCCGTCACCCAACACGCAGGGAGCAGGCGATACGAATCAATCGACAGCATCGGCTGAAGACAAGGGTGACAACGCTGAAGAGAACAAGGTGCAGTGGGTTTCATCTTGTCATGGCAATAGCAAAATCCCATGAAGATATTAAAACCCTTTGCATCACCATTTTTGTAGCTGTGATTCAGGTTCCTCCTTTGTATTTTTTCCAAAGGATGAAAGTGATACAACAAAAAATGACATGTCGTGACTGGGCAAGGACTAGCGATGTTGCCGAGACGGCTTTTGAAGTTCAAAAAATGCCAAGTCGTCCAGGGCCTCCAGGGCGAAGATGAGACAAACGAATCACCGACTGGTGAAGAGAAGGATGAAGAGAAGGTAGATGAGGTCAGGGCGCTGAAATCACTTTACGGGATGTCCTGGGACTTTGATATACCAAGAGCCTGTCAGTTCGACATCCATATGCCATGACAGCATGTGTTTGATTGGCAAATAGATAGATGGGTTTGAAAAAAGGGCTTGAGAAGCTACAAGTACTTAGATGGGCCATGGAGTTAGTTACTTGTAACTAGTTGGTAAATGGATTAGGGGGTTATATCTCCAGTTACTAACCATTTAGCTAATCCCATGGCCCATCTAAGTAATCTTTATCAAGAGCCTCTTTGTATTGACATATTCGGCGTTTTCCAATTTTGCTTGGTGGTTCACTTCAGCAAATGGCTTAGTTCACCCCGGTTACAATTGGACATTGCCCCCACTTTTTTGTCACTTATGATCTCTCATTAACTTTCTCCATGGCCTATCAAATCCGTTTGATGCCTGAATCATGAATCCTCATGTTGCTTAGTGAAATCCCATGGAAATCATCAAACTGTTTGTCATCATTCAATTCCATGAAAAATCCCAGTACTTAGATGGGCCATGGAGTTAGTTAACTAGTTAGTAAATGGATTATTTCATTGGGATGTTTTGAGGGTAACAAATCCCCAGTTACTAACCAGGAATTGTTAATCCCATGGCCCATCTGAGTAAATCATTCTGTCTCTTGGTGACAAATTGAAAATCACCTAGGTTTGTTGCTTGGTTCCCACATCTTTTGTGCCTGAAATCTGGGGGTGAAACTGCCATCGCCAGTCGCCGTGGAAGATCACGTCTCCAACGGCGGTGGCCGCGCCGGCGCCGTCGAAGACGCCCAAGGCGTCGAAGGCGCCCAAGGCGTCGAAGTCGCCCAAGGCGTCGAAGGCGTCGAAGGCGAAGACCCCGAAGGTTCGATGCGGGGCTGGTGGGATGTATCATACCTAGATGGGCCATGGGATGTTGCCGATTCCTGGTTAGAAACTGGGGATTTGTTACCCTCAAAAAATCCCAATGAAATAATCATAAATAATCCATGGCTACTAACTAGTTAACTAACTCCATGGCCCATCTAAGTACAAGGTGGTGCCCCAGCCAGTTATGTTTGTTGGTTTATAAACCATAGTAACTATAGATGTAAGCCCCAAAAAAGCCTAGTTGTTGGACTGATAAACCAACTTAGCTATCGACCGCGGGGCACCACCTTGTAGTAATACCCATATGCTCCAGGTATAGTGTATTTACCTACATGACTGGGTGATTTTTTGGGCCAATGTTGGTAAATGTTCCAGCATCATGGAGCATATGGGTCATGGAATATAATGGGATATAATGGGATATAATGGGATGTCATGGGATATAGTGGGATATAATGAACTAGAGTGGAATATCAGGGGATATAAACATACAAAGTGGAGCCCCCGAACGATAGCCAAGTCAGTGAAAATAACACCAATGTCACTATGGTTTATGGTACGCAAATAATAGCTACAACATTACAACTGGGGTTTGTAAACCAACAAAAATAACTGGGGGTCCCCACACTGTAACATAGTATTATATCTCACCTACTGGATGATTTCGGGCTACCCGCAGATCCTAAGTGGATGTGGTGGGAGGGATTGCTTTTGAGGAACGGTCACTGACATGGAAGTTACGGGAGCATTACTCTTGGGGTTATTCCATAATTTACCCTCTGGTAAACCAACATAACTATGGAAAATCAACATGTTTAATGAGAAAATCCACTACAAATGGGCATTTTCAATAGCTTTTTGTATGTTTACCAGAGGGTATATGTCGCAGTTGTTTCACATCAACATCTATGTCGCATTTATTTCACATCTTCGATCTTGAAACTGCCAACATTTGCTGGATTTGACTGACAAAACATGGAGGATGCGGCCACCCAAACCATGGTTGGTTTGATGAAAATTCGATGGCCGGAGACTGCGACCACTGGACAATCACTTGGCTGGGAAATCAGCGAAGTAAATGGAGGTTTTCATGGGAAAATCATCTATCCCTACAGCGACTGAGACACCGACACTGAGACCTTCGAATTCAGGGTATAAGGGGAGCACTAGATTGTAAAAATGGATAATTCCAATATGTATCAATATGTAACTATATATGGTTTACATAAAATCATATAAATTCACCATGTTGTCCAGTGATTTCACAGCTAAAATCCCATAAATTCATCATATTTCCCATGTTTCATCACCATTTTTGTTGGTAGAATCACATCATTTCCGACCAAAATTCACCATATTTCCAGAAAAATAATTCATTCTCAGGTGCCATGGAAATCGGTTCTTTGATGAGGATTTTTCTGGATGGGATCCTTGAACACCAAAACGCCAAAGAACATCTCGTGACTTTACAAGGTGAGACGGGTCCAGTTAAGGTCGCTAGTTTACAAACCAACTATAACTGGTTGGTGGTTTGGAACATGTTGAACTTTTTCCATTTCATATATGAGATGTCATCCCAACCCCATTGACGAACTCATATTTTTCAAGATTGTTAAAACCATCAACCAGATAATTATGTCAGTTCGGTGTATATATATACAATTATATAGTTCGGTATATATTATACATATCCTGCAAAAAGCCAACAGTTCACCAACTGAACTGTGCGTCAACTTAGTCATACATCGGCTATAACTCCATGCCATTCCATGAAAATCTCAAGGTACCCTCTGGTAAACGTTTACAAACAACTATGGAACATCCACCCATTTTGATGGGTAAATCAACTATTTCTATGGCCATTTTCTAGGTCGCAAACTGTTAGTTTACCAGAGGATAAGATGTTCCTATGGTTTTCCTCTGGTTTCGTTTGGGGGCCACGCCTTGTAGCGTTAATGATCAATGAGTTTTGAGGTGCCAGGATTTTGGAACTTCTGAACCATAGGGGATGGGCATCCATCTGTGGAGAAATACTGAATCTTTTGGAAACGTCTGAAATGAATAGATTCTATAAGAAAAAACACATCATACACATATAAAGGTGTGTCTGAAAATGAACTATTGAACTATGTATATCTTCCAAATGGTCGAGTCGAGAAAATCATGATTGACCAATGCATTTTCGGGTACCAAATTTTAAGACACACCTATACATATACATAGAATCATACATATATAGTATATATACATACATACATATGAAACACAGTTGCATGCACATGCACACATATGTATATATATATATGTATTATAATATATTATAGTAGATTATAGTAGACATTTGCGTATAATTGGTGAGCTAACGAAATCAACTGAAAAATCCCAATTCTGGTTGGCCAAATCCCCATGGCTGGGGGTAGTAGACGAATCTCCACCATAAAATCTACCCACGAAGCATCTCCATTAAATCCCTTTAAGGGTTGGTTGATCAAATTTCTGTTACCACTAAATCACCATGTCTGGTTGGTTAAGTCCCATGAAATCACAATTTTTAGTTGGTGAAAGAACATGAAATCACCATCTCTTGATGCTGAACTCAACATTAGGTCCCTGGTGGATGAACTTGCTGCTCAGGCGGCAGCTCCCCAATCAGCCTACTGCTCGAGTCCAGCTGAGAGGATCGATGCTTGGGGAACTCTTCTGCCATCCGAAATGCTCTAAAAAATGCACCGTAGAGAAATGGCTTACATGATATACGTAATTATATATGTATAGGTATATGTATATACTGTGTATATATATATACACACATATTGCCGGACTGAAACTTAGAATGCAATTTTCCAGTTTTGCCGGTGTGGCCCGACTTTTCCAAGTGAGCATTCATTCTAAGTAAGTTTCAGTCCAGCAATATATATATGGATTCTATTAAACAACGGGGGATCCCCAAAACATTGGTTTCAATACTAACATGGTTTAAGATTGGATGATTTGGGGGTACACATTTTACGAAACTTCCATACATATATATATATATACATACAACTACAATGTGGGGCACCAAAGATGGCTAAGTTGGTTTATAACTACAATAACTAGGGTTTATGAGGGATATATCATGATATATTTGGATGTAGATGGGATTAAGCCTAAGTTATAACTAGGGGTTCCCACTGTATCGGAAATATCTAGCTATGATGTTACATATACACAATATATTTTGCCATATTGTAAATGGATGCAAACATAATTATATCATCTTTAGTTACAAATTTATATGCGCGTATATAACTAGTGTATCAACTGTCATTTGTAACTTGCTTGTGTTCATTAGCAGGTTGGTTCAGTGATCATTTTTCTGGGTTCAAGCCACCAAGCCACATGACTTTGCAAACGCCCTGGCCCCAAGACACCACGTTTCTGAAGGGTCGATTTTTTGGGTACGTACTCTAAATGGGAAAATGGTCACGAAACAACGGTCAACAATAGTTGATGATATCTATCTATTAATCAACTGGATATCAACTATTAATCAACTATTAAACAGAATGAAACATCAAGCACTGTGAGTTCCTAGGCCTCACGCATTGTCCCATAGCCGGCAGCTTGGACAGTGCCAGGAACAATACGCATGCTGAGAACGTGAGGCTGCTGGGTCTTGCAGCTTTAGTGTTCAATGATGCCCATCCAAAGCGGTGTATGGTCATGGAAGTATGTACTGCTTGTTGACTTCATTTCAAGTATACTATACATACAAGTGCAGAGAGATAGATATATATATATATATAATGATATATATATATGTATATTTCTGGGTAAGTTATAACGACCTCACTGTTCTCCCTCACTGGAATCATGGTTAGTAAGGGCAATCATCCCCAAATGGCCTTATTTCAGAATAGTGAATTAATAGAATTTACCCAGATATATATGTACCTCTTCGGGGGTAAATTACAATGCTGTCGCCACGACGTCACTTGAAATGACCGTTTGTAGAGGCCACTATCACCAAAGTGGCCGAAGAATTAAGATGGGGGGTCCCTCAAGTCACCATGGCTTTGAATACTGCCATGAAAGATTTGGGGTACACCCATTTCAGGAAAACTCCATCTGTATATATATATATATTATATATATATACATAATTACATTATAGGCAGATATATATATATATATATACCTTCAGCAACCAGATTTCGAGATTTCTGGAGCCAGCCTTGCTTTTTCAGGCTGTAGTTGGTATATACATACATCTACAGACAGATAGATAGATAGGTAAACAGGTAGATAGATAGATCGTCATACCCATTGATTTAATGAACACATTTTCAGCTTTCCCTCAGGCATCAGCTCTGTCAGTTGCTGGCAGAACTGGCTTCACTGCGCAAGACTGGAGGTGCAGGGACCCGTCATGCTGGGCGGAGGCTTCCACCAGGAGGTCGAAAATATGAGGGGATTTACCGACCAAAATCGGCATTGAACATGGGATTTCACATGGATTTCACATTCAACTAATCCCTCTGGGTCAACCGACTTAGATCATGTAAAAAAACTTTAGATTACTTATAGAACCTGGTAAAATTACTTTAGAATTACTACCATTCAGCACCTGAATCGTTTAGCTCTGGTAAAGTTCGTAATGTCGGTAAAACAGGATCATAAACCATCCTATAGTATACCATTCCCAGTCATGGGTGGTTTATGGCAATGTTTTACTTCGATTAGTAATTCTTGTAATATCCATTAACTAGCCATTTACCACCATTAATAACCATTATATCATTATATAACCATTATATCATTATATAACCATTATTAATAACCATAAAGAACCATTAGCTATATGGTAAAAATTCGTTCCACCCAATCAACTTCGCCCTGCAGGTGGACAAAGTGCGCCGGTGGCAGAGGAAAAATGGGTCGGTTTCATGGTAGATTTGATGGGGATGGCACCAGCTCCAAAGACCGGCACTGAGAATGTATGGATGGAGTGGTTTAACTTGGGTCTGTTTACACCTTCGAATTGAGGGTATTTGGAGCACTAGGGATGATGAAAATTGGTGATTTAATGGTATTTGAACGTATTTAATCAACCAAAAAATCAAGATATACCGATACAATGGCGATACAATGAGGATAGAAAGGGTAGGTCTCAGTTCTAGGTTAATTAGCAATCAATCTTGAAATTCATGGGGCAACATTTCTTGAATGTAATGACCAACAAAATTGAACATGGCGCTTAAGACTGCACGAGAAGTAATGTTCAGGTCGGCAGGTAACAAACTAAATCGAGCCCAAACTAATAGAATCACATGATCGAGGCCCATGTTTGCCATGTAACACCTTCGCAAATGGTGAACATTCCCTTGTTGCATCATTGCGGATACCCTGGCATCCGTTCTGCCATCTTCTTGCTGGTATCAAAATCTGAAAAAGTGAATTATAACCCCCATTTATGGAATGTATAACCCCATTTATAAGCATTATAATACATAAAAGGGCTGAAAAACTGTGGTCAGTACCTGTGGTCGGTGACGAAAACCCGCCTCATTCGACAAAGTTGGTCGTCACATTCCCACGTGTTTTATCCATCGATGTTCAATCCCACAGTTGGAGAGTTTATCCCATCCCATCATATACCCTTTGCTAAACTAACATAGCTATTGAACATGGTGATTTATAGTGGATTTTCCCATTAAAAATGGTGATTTTCCATAGTTATGTTAGTTTACCAGAGGGTATCTTAAAAGAAAACGCCATATCTAGTTGTCAAACCATATTATTATATAATGTTAGTCGGTTAAAGCACGTATTTGATATGCCGAAGAAAACCATTTCAATCCAATTTCAAAACTTTTTTTTTGGACCCTTAGTGAGAATTGAGCTTTATTTGGCTATAAACCACCCAATGAACATCAAAAAACAGCATGGAACCCATCCAACCTCAGATTCCAAACATTCTATAACAACCATCCCGTCTATGCAATATGGGACGCCCACAGTTTTGTTTCTTGGTTAAAAACCCAATGAATACTATAGTTATGAATATCATGAAGCCTATATTGGAGTGATGTTTACCAACTTAGCCCTCTGAATCACCATTCAATCACCATGAAATCACCGTTTAATCACCTGGTTGGTGGTTTGGAACATGACTTTTATTTTTCCATATATTGGGAATAATCATCCCAACTGCCTTTCCTATTTTTTTAAGAGGGGTGGAGAAAAACCACCAACCAGTCACCATTCGATTCCCATTTTTTGCTCCTCATACCCTCTGGTAATTTAACGTAGCTATTGAAAATCACCATTTATAGTGGATTTTCCCATTAAAAATAGTGATTTTCCATAGTTTTTTGTATGTTTACCAGAGGGTATCCACCCTTTTTTGAAGCCCTGCGTTTGCCGAAAACCCTTCGTTCAACACGAAAAAACGAAAGCGTCGCCAGGAGCCGACGCCGACGGTGGGAGGTCAAGAGGTGATCCCAGAGCCCACCTTGGGCACGGCGATTCGGCGGCGACGGTGATGGCTTTCCTGGGGAAATCGAAAATCCCCATGGGAAAAGCCATAGGAAAACCATGGAAAATATGGGAAATCCATGGAAACTACGGGAAATCCATGGAAAAATCCATGGAAAAAACCCATGAAAAATGGAGGTTTCTGGTGATTTTAAAGTCAATTCGTTGGGACATTGGACATCACTTGCAAAATCAACGAACGACATGAGAAAAATAGAGGCAAGGAGCTACAATGTGGTGCCCCCCAAGTTATAAGTTGGTTTATAATCCCATTAACTATATAGATATATCTACCATAAGTCCTAGTGAAATTAGAGTTATAAACCAACTTAGCTATCTTGGGGGCACCATCTTGTACAATCAAACCCAATGATGTTGGTAGTTTTTACGAGTCATGTTTGGAGGTTCCATGTTGCATTGCGTTCTTCATCAACAATTGAATCGCTTACTCTTTGTTTGGGGGTTGCATGTGAAACTTTCTGAACCTGCTGAGATTCAGATCATCGTTTCAACCAGGGATCGCGGGGGATACCATCCAACCTGGAATAGCTGCTATCTTTTGGGGCCACGGTGGGTTTATCATGTATAATCCATTTGAGAGGTGGACTCCCACAAAAAGGCAGACATTTGGCTAGATCCAGCAAGTGGCTTAGCCTAAGACTAGCCGTTGACATCGAGCTACTTTCAGACAATTGTAAGCCTTATTTATACCAGAACCAGTGCTCGAAAACCATCATTTGTTGCCTCATTTCCACCCAGCTACAGATGAGAAAACGGCTCAGTGCAGCTATGTTTCAACCGACATTTTTTCCACATATCCCCAACTGATGGGGTTTATTCATGTTTATTCCACCATGATTCCCATGTGTTTTAACCTCAACTGCACCCAAGTAGAGCTCACCTGGCTCCCTTTGGGATAGTTCCTACAGTCAATCCCCACGGGTCCGATGAAGGAACGATGACCAAATGCAGAGGTATGAGTACCTGCGTGCACACAAGCTCATAATCATATACATACAATTAACATCATATACACTTAACATCAATCAAATACATATATATATATAATATCAGTGTCAGCAATGTTATCACTCAATATGTGTACCCATATATCATACATATATCATACATATATATAATATACATATACATATAGTATAATAGATTATTATATGCAATTGGTATGTCCCTAGTTTTGGAGCTGTCGAGTGTGTAGCCTACCGCAATTTACGAACTGCACCCAGGACCAGGTGCAAGAAGAAGCCGTGGCAAAGGCACAGGCGCCACGGTTCATGGGATTCCATGGCGATGGTCTTTTCCGGATGGTCACTTGGTAGTCGAAGCCCAAAAATGGTATACCGGTATAGCGTATTATATTGTCAAAACATGGTATTTAAGATATTTAAACATGGTGAATTTTATCAAAATCAATCATATACCCAACACAAAAAAACAACTTAAGATTGTCACTCCAATATTGTCAAAACATGGTATTTTTCACGTGGATATGTATATTTCAACACATATTGTTTTGGGATATAACTGATATAACTTATAACCCTCAACATATGATTGATTTTCATTATTAAGCATCAACAATTAGGGGTTGTAATGGGGATTGGTCGAAAACCTCAGGGATGGATCACCATGGATGAGGACATCAACAATGAGATATACCCGGCCTGGTTTAAACGTTTACAGTTTGCGAACTTGAAGCCGTGGCCCAGTCGACATGGTGGATTTACTTGGATTTACCAATTTTTCTAGCATGGGTGGATTTTCCAGTTCGTTTTTTGTAAACGTTTAGAAAGCCGGGTACAACCAACCAATAAACCCCTGGGACGCTTGGGAGTCTGCGACCTGCATTGGGGATTGGTGGGGATTGGGGATGACCAAAGTGAGGATAACCCCCCGGTCGAGGTCGCGTTCAGTTGGTTTATAACTCCAATGTCACTATGGTTTATGGTCATGGTACGCAAATAACTATCGTATTCATAGGGATGGTACGCAAATAACTATAGTTAATATTGCAATTTGAAAAGTGCTTGGATGACGACTGGATGATGCCACGATTGGTTACTGCTGGGTCACCCTGGTTTAACAAAAAATAAGGTCGACTTTCCAGTCTTTTCGATTGTGAAATGTCAGTTTTAACATGGTTGAAACATGCCCAATACAGTGCCTTTAGGCAGTGCCAAGATCTACTGAATCTATTTAAGTTCCAAACCAGTGGGGTTTAACAAGTCGTTTCTTACTGCAATAACTTAGGTTTGGTACCTGAAAATGTTGGGAAACCCCAAATCTCATCGCTTGAAATCTGTCGTTTTCCTATCATACAATGGCAACGTTTTTCCGTTGTATCTCCATAGTTTGGATGATTTTATCCCCTTTTTTATATCATCATGTTGTGCATTATACTTACTTGTGTATACATGTAAGTCATGATTTAATGAAATGGAATTCTATGCAACATTTTATGTACTTTGGTGGAGTGTAATGTAATGTGATAACATGCAAGATGCAATGCATAGCAGTTCAAAGTGATGCAATGTCATGTCATGTAATGTAATGTAATGTAATGTAATGCAATGTATAATGGAATGTAATGAAATCTGATCTAATCTAATGTAATGTAATGTAATTTATGTACATTATCTATATAAAGCGATAACTTTATGTAGTCTGTTTTTGTTTCCGCTGTGTAATTATATTCCAGCATATCCCCATATCATCAATTCCCCAAGGAAATGGTTGGCTTTATACCATTTATGATCCCAGGTGTTTGTGATTCCACTAAATCACTGTTTAGTTGAATGTCATTTACCATGTTTGCACTTTGAATCCTATAAAATCACATGTTTTTCACAGTTAAATTCCATGTCATCAGCATTTCTCTTGGTGGCATCCCATTGAAATCATCATTAAGTCATCATTAAATGTCATTAAATCCCAGTCAATCATCAGGTTTCATTGTTAAATCCCTTTGAAATCACCATTATTCTTAGATATTCTTGGCAGTTCCTCTCATCCTTGGCTCGAAATTTGCGTCGAGGCAGCTGCTTGGAGGCGACGCGATGAGGCCCAGATACTGCCTGATCCAGCTTGGAATCCTAGAGTTGTGAGGGGTTCGCAGTTGGTGATGGGGGGATGACACCAACTTTATTGGGGATGATCACAACGGGGAATCCCGTTTTCAACCAACCAGTACAAAGAGCATCAAAGAGCCGACATTTCGGGCTTTCAACACTGCCGACTTGCAGTTTTCATGGGCTTTGAATGTTCTCAAATTGAGTTTCCTAGACACTTGACACTTGATTTTCGACAAGCGTTTGTGGCGACTGAATTACCTTGGTATAATGACCTTAATATAATGATCTGTATATATATGGTTTCACGTATATGAAAGCACCATGTCGACATGCCCTAGGTACCCCTGGGTCTGCTGTTGTTCAACCTCTCGCCTGCCTTAGGATCGGGGCTCAATCACGGGCACTCCGCCGGGGCCCGGCGTTCTAAAGTTGAAGAATCCACGATTGTGGCCGCAAAGCCAAGACGCTCGGCAGACTCGGCAGATGGTGAAGGTACCTGTAATTAAACATGGTTTGCTGCAAGAACCTTTCTAATCTTTCTAAATATATTGGTTCTGATGACTATATACGGATTCTTCGGAAGTATAGTCAAAATGCATTGTTCCATATATGTCATCAGCTCTTGCACAAAATGTCAACGTTCTCAAAAGTCCATACTCATCCGTCAGATTGGATGTAAAACAGGTAAGGCAGAGCATTCCCCAAAAGATATGTATAAAACGTGATCTGTTCTGCATTTTACACATTCGACACACCTGAGTTTCACCTACATTTTCGATAGGCCAAGCTTAGGGGGAAAAAACAAGATGAAGCCCACGAACCCGAATGCTCACACGTATGTTAATGGTACAGATGTCAAAACACGTGGTTATGCAGTCACGCGCAATACCTTTCTGCAATAGTTTATTTGAACAGTCTTGGAGTCTTGTACATGTTTCCCTTGTTACCAGTCTGCAGTGTGGAGTGGAAAGTGTAGAGTGTGGAGTGTGGAGTGTGGAGTGTGAAGTAAGGAGTGTGGAGTGTAAAGTGTGGAGTGGGGAGTGTAGAGTGTGTAACGTGTAGAATGCGGAGTGTAAAGTGTAGAGTGTGGAGTATGGAGTGTAAAGTGTAGAGTGTGGAGTGTAGAGCGTAGAGTGTGGAGTGAGGAGTGTAAAGTGTGGAGTGTGGAGTGTGGAGTGTAAAGTGAGGAGTGTAAAGTGTGGAGTGAGGAGTGTGGAGTGTAAAGTGAGGAGTGTAAAGTGTGGAGTGAGGAGTGTGGAGTTTGTAAATTGTAGGGTGTGAAGTGTAAAGTGTAGAGTGTAAAGTGTAGAGTGTGGTGTGTAGAGTGTAGCGTGTGGAGTGTGAAGTGGAAAGTGTAGAGTGTGGTGTGTAGAGTGTGGAGTGTGGAGTGTGGAGTGTAAAGTGTGGAGTGTAGAGTGTGGAGTGAGGAGTGTAAAGTGGAAAGCGTGGAGTGTAAAGTGGAGTGTAGAGTGTAGAGTGTATAGTGTAAAGTGTAAAGTGTAAAGTGTAGAGTGTGGAGTGTGGAGTGTAAAGTGTGGAGTGACGAGTGTAAAGTGGAAAGCGTGGAGTGTAAAGTGGAGTGTAGAGTGTAGAGTGTATAGTGTAAAGTGTAAAGTGTAAAGTGTGGAGTGTGGAGTGTGGAGTGTAAAGTGTGGAGTGTAAAGTGTAGAGTGTGGAGTGTGGAGTGTAAAGTGTGGAGTGTAAAGTGTGGAGTGAGGAGTGAGGAGTGTAAAGTGTGGAGTGTGGAGTGTAAAGTGTGGAGTGTGGAGTGTGGAGTGTGGAGTGGAAAGTGTGGAGTGTGAAGTGTGGAGTGTAAAGTGTGGAGTGGTGAGTGTAAAGTGTGGAGCGTCGAGTGTGGAGTGAGGAGTGTAAAGTGTGGAGTGTAAAGTGTGGAGTGTAAAGTGTGGAGTGTGGAGCGTAAAGTGTAGACTGTGGAGTCTGGAGTGGAAAGTGTAGAGTGTGGTGTGTAGAGTGTGGAGTGAGGAGTGTACAATATAAAGTGTGGAGTGTGGAGTGTACAGTAAAGTGTGGAGTGTGGAGTGCGGAGTGTGGAGTGGAAAGTGTAGAGTGTGGAGTGTGGAGTGTAAAGTGGGGAGTGTGGAGTGTAGAGTGTGGTGTGAGGAGAGAAGTGTAGAGTGTGGAGTGCGGAGCTTCCCCCATAGACACGGCGACGCCACAGGAAAACCAGCGACTCGAGACAAGACACGTGGATGCAGAAAAACAAGCATTTCGTGCGAGACTTCCTCCAACTTTCACAGTTGGCAACATGACCAAAGGACAAGTTTTGCAGCTTCCCCCATAAGACACGGCGAGGCCACGGGAAAACCAGAGACGCGAGACGAGACAGGTGGGAGCACCAAAACGAGCATTTCGTGCGAGACTTCCTCCAATTTTCACACTTTGTAGCTTCAAAATCGACGTTTTCCTACGAGTTTTCCTTAGAACCTGAAAATTCGCAACCTCAAAATCGATTTTTCGTGCGAGGCTTCCGTCAATTTTCAGCACATCGCACAAAATGCCACGACTGCCACGGAGTTTGCACCTTGTCGCCACTTGACGCAGCCCTGCCAATGCGATTTGCAAAAAACACGCAACAGGACACGTCTAAAGTGCTGCGCCTGCCACGAAAAATGACGATGGACACGTCCAAAGTGCTGCCCCTGCCACGAAAACTGCAACACATCTTCTGACAACGTCACAAAAGTATTGCGCCTGCCACGCAAAACGACTTTCGACACGTTCCAGAACACGTCTGAATGTCACGAAGTGCCACGCTTGCCACGCGAAACGAAGCAACGACACGTCTGCAACCTCCAAAAAGGACCACCTCTGCAGAACTTCCCATAGGCACGGCCATACGGGGATCGCGCGAACGGTTGCGAACGGTTGCGAACGGTTGCGAACGGTTGCGAACGGTTGCGACCGTGAACGCAACGTCGAGCGAACACACCCTCAACCCCCAGACCCCCAGAGTGAAACGGGAACCCTTGCTACGCATTCGGGAACCAGGGATCCAAAGATATCCTCTGTTAATTTAACATAGCTATTGAAAATGGCCATAGAAATAGTGAGTTGTCCCATGAAAAAAGGTGATTTTCCATAGTTTTTTGTATGTTTACCACAGGATATCCACAGTCAAAGTCGCCATGGTTTTGATGGTCGATGCCAGGAGGTCGACATTAGGCACAGCTTGGATTTTTCGTATCGTCCCAGCTCTTCGTGGCTTCCATGGCTAGCTTAGTTTAGCCCAGGGATCCCAGGGGATCCGGGCTTTCCGTGGCGAGCCTAGGAAGCTGACAGCTCGGGGATCTCAGGGGATTCGGGGGATCTCAAATAACTTGGGACCTGGTGACGGACATTGAAAAATGTTGGTTGATGGTGGTGGTTGGCATCACCAGAAATGGTTGGATAATGTTGGATATTGGATAGTTATTTAAGCGTACCATAAACCATCGTGAGTTATTGGAGTTATGTATAAACCAACTGAACGCGACCTCGACCGGGGGCACCACGACTTGCAGAAATGATGGGTTGGATATGGTTGGATATGTTTCGGGAGAATCCCATAGATGCCATAGATGCCATCCGGAGAACGAGATCGTTTTGATGGTCCCCACCGGGTCCATGGGGTCCATCCAAGGGCGCCCGGGTTTCCGATCGTCCAACGCCCAGGTGCAGGATATCCGATCGTTTCCAGGGTCCCGCACTGCCGTGCCACGGGAAGCGGAAGCCGCGGCACTGGAGCAGTGGGAGAAGTCGACGCAAGGCGGGGACGGGACACACCGCTTGAAGGGTGGATTGTGAAAGGTTGAAATTGAGTGAATGGCTTCAACCGAAACGAGAACTCCCATGAGTATCCATGAGTCATGATGTTGAAAGGTTCATAGAATCCCATGAATCATCAAAATGAAAGGTTCATGATTCATGGTATTTTTCATGATGAAAAATGGTGATGTCCATGACTGGTTGGTGGTTTGGAACATATTGGGAATAATATATAATAATCCCAACTGACTTTCATATTTTTCAGAGGTGTTGAAACCACCAATCAGATGAGATTTAAAGCATAAATCCATGGAGGTTGAGGGGGATTTTCACCAACACAACTGGGGATTTAACCGACCACAAATTGTGGTGATTCAATAGGATTGAATGGGACGTCATGAAAATGGTTTATACAATAGAAGACCAGCAGTTAGAATATGGGAAAATCAAACTTCCGTGTTTAACGCGAGTCCAGGATATATCTGTTTTCATATGTTGTTGAGTTGCGTTAATTCACACATAGAATTTAAAAAATAAAAAGACCCCACACACTTAGAATATTTTGGATGTTTATGTATAGTTTGATATTACATGAAAACCACACAAATCGTGTGTTTCACAACCGTTTTCGAGGCGTCTCAAAACCCACAATCGTTTTGGACACAACTGTTGAATTTGTGTCTAAAACAACCACATTGGGTTCGTACATAATTAGTCACTTTGTACATAAAGCAAGGCAAAGAAAAGAAACATACAGTTGGGTTCATTAATTCCTGCAAAACAAAGATAAATTGCAAAAAAAATGCAGCTGTCTCAAAACAATCTCAGTACATCACCACATCGGCTTGCAGTTGTTGCAATTCGTTCTGTGAAACACACTCATGGTACAGTACCAGCTGGTTGGCAGTTGTTGTTTTTGTTTGTGTAAAATTGTGCATTTATAGGCAGTGAATGCACTTAGAATATGGTCAAGGAAGGCACATAACCGAACAGTTTGCAGTTGAGTTCCTTACTGCGAAGCAAGCAAGGTACAGTGTCAAACAGTTTGCAGCTGTTGAGTTCATAATTGCAACACAATTTCATCCGAGCACCATATGCTCTACAGTTCTTGCACCTGGTACTGCAAAACACGCATGGTACAGTACCAGCTGGTTGGCAGTTGTTGTTTTTGCTTGTGTGAACCTGTCCATGTATGGGTAGTGAATGCACAAAACATTCAAGGTACAGTGCCAAAAAGTTTGCAACTGCTGAGTTCATGATTGCAAAACAATTTCAGTACCTCACCACGTAGGCTTGCAGTTGCTGCATTTCATTCTGAAGAACACACTCATGGTACAGTACCAGCTGGTTGGCAGTTGTTGTTTTTGTTTGTGTAAAATTGTGCATTTGTAGGCAGTGAATGCACTTAGAATATGGTCAAGGAAGGCACATAACCGAACAGTTTGCAGTTGAGTTCCTTACTGCGAAGCAAGCAAGGTACAGTGTCAAACAGTTTGCAGCTGTTGAGTTCATAATTGCACACAATTTCACCCGAGCACCATATGCTTTACAGTTCTTGCACCTGGTACTGCAAAACATGCATGGTACAGTACCAGCTGGTTGGCAGTTGTTGGTTTTGCTTGTGTGAACCTGTCCATGTATGGGTAGTGAATGCACAAAACAATCAAGGTACAGTGCCAAAATAAGTTTGCAACTGCTGAGTTCATGATTGCAAAACAATTTCAGTACATCACCACATCGGCTTGCAGTTGCTGCATTCTTTCTGCAAGACACACTCATGGTACAGTACCAGCTGGTTGGCAGTTGTGTTTTTGCTTGTGTAAAGCTGTGCATTTATGGGCAGTGAATGCACTTAGAATATTGTCAGAGTTGCCAGAGTGGCTTGGTCCATCAAGGAAGGTGCATAACCAAACAGTTTACAGTTGAATTTGTTACTGCAAAGCAAGTAAGGTACAGTTCCCAACAAATTGCAGCTGCTGAGTTCATAATTGCAAAACTACCTCAGTACAACACCACATGGTTTACATTTTTTGCATTTGGCACTGCAAAACACGTATGGTCGCCGCATGGTACATTACCAACCCGTTTGCAGTTGTTGCGCTTGCCGTTTGCCTGTATAACTGTGCATTTAATTTATGGGCAGCACATGCACTTAGAATATGATCACAACTAACATAGTCACTTTGTACATAAAGCAGGGCAAAGAAAAGAAACATACAGTTGGGTTCATTAATTCCTGCAAAACAAAGATAAATTGCAAAAACAATGCAGCTGTCTCAAAACAATCTCAGTACATCACCACATCGGCTTGCAGTTGTTGCAATTCGTTCTGCGAAACACACTCATGGTACAGTAGCAGCTGGTTGGCAGTTGTTGTTTTTGTTTGTGTAAAATTGTGCATTTATAGGCAGTGAATGCACTTAGAGTATGGTCAAGGAAGGCACATAACCGAACAGTTTGCAGTTGAGTTCCTTACTGCGAAGCAAGCAAGGTACAGTGTCAAACAGTTTGCAGCTGTTGAGTTCATAATTGCAACACAATTTCATCCGGGCACCATATGCTTTACAGTTCTTGCACCTGGTACTGCAAAACACGCATGGTACAGTACCAGCTGGTTGGCAGTTGTTGGTTTTGCTTGTGTGAACCTGTCCATGTATGGGTAGTGAATGCACAAAACATTCAAGGTACAGTGCCAAAATAAGTTTGTAACTGCTGAGTTCATGATTGCAAAACAATTTCAGTACATCACCACATCGGCTTGCAGTTGCTGCATTCTTTCTGCAAGACACACTCATGGTACAGTACCAGCTGGTTGGCAGTTGTGTTTTTGCTTGTGTAAAGCTGTGCATTTATGGGCAGTGAATGCACTTAGAATATTGTCAGAGTTGCCAGAGTGGCTTGGTCCATCAAGGAAGGTGCATAACCAAACAGTTTACAGTTGAATTTGTTACTGCAAAGCAAGCAAGGTACAGTTCCCAACAAATTGCAGCTGCTGAGTTAATAATTGCAAAACTACCTCAGTACAACACCACATGGTTTACATTTTTTGCATTTGGCACTGCAAAACACGTATGGTCGCCGCATGGTACAGTACCAATCCGTTTGCAGTTGTTGCGCTTGCCGTTTGCCTGTATAACTGTGCATTTAATTTATGGGCAGCACATGCACTTAGAATATGGTCACAACTCACATAGTCACTTTGAAAATCAATCAAGACAAAGAACAGAAACATACAGTTGGGTTCATTAATTCCTGCAAAACAAAGATAAATTGCAAAAAACAATGCACTGTCTCAAAACAATCTCAGTACATCACCACATCGGCTTGCAGTTGTTGCAATTCGTTCTGCGAAAACACTCATGGTACAGTACCAGCTGGTTGGCAGTTGTTGTTTTTGCTTGCGTAAAATTGTGCATTTATAGGCAGTGAATGCACTTAGAATATGGTCAAGGAAGGCACATAACCGAACAGTTTGCAGTTGAGTTCCTTACTGCGAAGCAAGCAAGGTACAGTGTCAAACAGTTTGCAGCTGTTGAGTTCATAATTGCAACACAATTTCATCCGGGCACCATATGCTTTACAGTTCTTGCACCTGGTACTGCAAAACATGCATGGTACAGTACCAGCTGGTTGGCAGTTGTTGGTTTTGCTTGTGTGAACCTGTCCATGTATGGGTAGTGAATGCACAAAACATTCAAGGTACAGTGCCAAAATAAGTTTGTAACTGCTGAGTTCATGATTGCAAAACAATTTCAGTACAGTACCACGTGGGCTTGCAGTTGCTGCATTTCGTTCTGCAAAACACACTCATGGTACAGTACCAGCTGGTTGGCAGTTGTGTTTTTGCTTGTGTAAAGCTGTGCATTTATGGGCAGTGAATGCACTTAGAATATTGTCAGAGTTGCCAGAGTGGCTTGGTCCATCAAGGAAGGTGCATAACTAAACAGTTTACAGTTGAATTTGTTACTGCAAAGCAAGCAAGGCACAGTTCCCAACAAATTGCAGCTGCTGAGTTAATAATTGCAAAACTACCTCAGTACAACACCACATGGTTTACATTTTTTTGCATTTGGCACTGCAAAACACGTATGGTCGCCGCATGGTACATTACCAACCCGTTTGCAGTTGTTGCGCTTGCCGTTTGCCTGTATAACTGTGCATTTAATTTATGGGCAGCACATGCACTTAGAATATGATCACAACTAACATAGTCACTTTGTACATAAAGCAGGGCAAAGAAAAGAAACATACAGTTGGGTTCATTAATTCCTGCAAAACAAAGATAAATTGCAAAAACAATGCAGCTGTCTCAAAACAATCTCAGTACATCACCACATCGGCTTGCAGTTGTTGCAATTCGTTCTGCGAAACACACTCATGGTACAGTAGCAGCTGGTTGGCAGTTGTTGCTTTTGTTTGTGTAAAATTGTGCATTTATAGGCAGTGAATGCACTTAGAATATGGTCAAGGAAGGCACATAACCGAACAGTTTGCAGTTGAGTTCCTTCCTGCGAAGCAAGCAAGGTACAGTGTCAAACAGTTTGCAGCTGTTGAGTTCACAATTGCAACACAATTTCATCCGATCACCATATGCTTTGCAGTTCTTGCACGTGGTACTGCAAAACACGCATGGTACAGTACCAGCTGGTTGGCAGTTGTTGTTTTTGCTTGTGTGAACCTGTCCATGTATGGGTAGTGAATGCACAAAACAATCAAGGTACAGTGCCAAAAAGTTTGCAACTGCTAAGTTCATGATTGCAAAACAATTTCAGTACAGTACCACGTAGGCTTGCAGTTGCTGCATTTCGTTCTGCAAAACACACTCATGGTACAGTACCAGCTGGTTGGCAGTTGTGTTTTTGCTTGTGTAAAGCTGTGCATTTATGGGCAGTGAATGCACTTAGAATATTGTCAGAGTTGCCGGAGTGGCTTGGTCCATCAAGGAAGGTGCATAACCAAACAGTTTACAGTTGAATTTGTTACTGCAAAGCAAGCAAGGTACAGTTCCCAACAAATTGCAGCTGCTGAGTTAATAATTGCAAAACTACCTCAGTACAACACCACATGGTTTACATTTTTTGCATTTGGCACTGCAAAACACGTATGGTCGCCGCATAGTACATTACCAACCCGTTTGCAGTTGTTGCGTTTGCCGTTTGCCTGTATAACTGTGCATTTAATTTATGGGCAGCACATGCACTTAGAATATGATCACAACTCACATAGTCACTTTGAAAATCAATCAAGACAAAGAACAGAAACATACAGTTGGGTTCGTTAATTCCTGCAAAACAAAGGTAAATTGCAAAAACATGCAGCTGTCTCAAAACAATCTCAGTACATCACCACATCGGCTTGCAGTTGTTGCAATTCGTTCTGCGAAACACACTCATGGTACAGTAACAGCTGGTTGGCAGTTGTTGCTTTTGTTGGTGTAAAAATGTGCATTTATGGGTAGTAAATGCACTTAGAATATGGCCACAACTACATAGTCACCTTTACCTCAAGCAAGGCAACGAATAGAAACCTATTACAGTACAGTTGAGTTAGACAAGCCGCGCTACAATACAAAAAAACATTAAAAACATGCAACTGCTGAGTTCATGATCGCCGATCAATCTCAGTACGGCACCTCATGATTTACAGTTGTTTTTGGTACTGCAGCAAAACACGCATGGTACAGCACCAACCGGTTTTGCACTTGCTGCTTTTGCTTGCATAACTGTGCTCTTATGGGCAGTAAATGCACTTAGAATATGGCCACAACTACATAGTCACTTTTACCTCAAGCAAGGCACAGAATAGAAAACAAGTAAGGTAAAGTGCCAAAAAGTTTGCAACTGCTGACTTTATGATTGCAAAACAATGTCAGTACACCACATAGACATAGACTTGCAATTGTTGCATTTGGTACTGCAAAACACGCATGGTAAAGTACCAACCGGTTGGCCTTTGTTGTTTTTTGCCTGGGTAAAACTGTGCATTTGTGAGCAGTGAATGTACTTAGAATATGGTCACAACCACATTGTCACTGATAGTCCATCAAAGAAGGTACCGAACCAACAAGTTTACTGTTCTTGTTATTGTCACAAATACAGTAGTCCCGACAAACATCTATAGATTTCCTATATAGTGGGATAACCAAGGGGAACACCAAAACAATGATCTTCAGCAATTCTGACTATTGTATCCCAATGTTGTTGATTAGCCACCATTATGCCTACGATAATACAGTAGAAAACCGGTTTCCAGCTGGTAAACGGGGATGGAGAGAGAGAGGAGGCCAGCAGTAATGAAATTTATTGGGGATTATTGGGATACTGTGGAGGACGAGCATACTATATGGTCGGATGTAGCTAGTTTTTCCTTAAGACAGCATACTACAAAAATATTCTATGTGTACCCCCTCGATTTTAATATTCTTAGTGCTTTTCACCCCGGGCTCAAGTATGTTAAAAAACAACATAAATCCATATTCTAAAACTTTAATCTTTTTTTTAAATTCTAAGTGCTCGTCCAACGTAGTAATTGGGATATGATGGGGATATAGAACCACCAATATCATGTGTCTTTGTGTTGAGAACATGTTTGTATACCTCCCAGCCATTTTGAAAGCGAAACAATTGAATTTGCTTCAAAACCATTGGATTGTTGGGTGCCTCTTCTTTCAGACAAAGTCACATAATTTAAGACTCAACACAAATCACCAAAGTTTGAAACAACAAATGGAATATGTTTATGTTTTGGCCTTAACCAAATTCAAGGTATAGCAATCCCTAAGAAGGCGGAAGCTGGTAAGATCGCACAAAAGAATACAACGTATACAAAAGTTCAATATTATGTGTTATTCCTCTATCTTTTTGGGTTCTCTTTTTCCCCTATACTTGGACAGACCCAATCTCTAGAAGACTAAAACACCTTCTTCATGATTCTAGAAATCCCATCAGAATAAATCCCATTAAAACACCATCAAATCCTATTCACATCCATTAAATCATCATTTTTGTTGCTTAAATCCCATGACATCACCATGTTTCCACCGGATGGGCCCCCGTTAGATAGCGTTCAGTTGCCGAATAAGTGGCTGAATTCTATGGTTTATGGTAGATGTATGTAGATGTAACATCATATTATATCATCATATAACTATCCCTAGTGCTCCAAATACCCTCAATTCGAAGGTGTAAACAGACCCAAGTTAAACCACTCCATCCATACAGTGTCAGTGTCGGTGTTTGGAGCTGTAGGGTATAGTACTTTATAACCAACTAACACCACTGGTGGGCACCATCCTGCACGGTTCAATGCCAGCCATCCCATCATTTCAGGCCGCCGAGAAAAGCGGAGGAAGCGCTCGAGGAAGCAGCAGCAGCTCGAGTGATTTGGGGCGGGGGGTCAGCTGAACTCGGCAGGTTTTCTCATTGCCGCCATTTGCACCACAGAATGGCTGGCTCAAAAAACACAATGAACCACGTTGATCCGGCTGGAACCGGAACCGTTATTTTGGGTTGCAGTTGCAACTGCTTGCGCCTTCCCCCTCAGGAGAAGATGCTGGGCTATGAATGCAGTCATATGTATGATCCACAAATGATGGAGTCAGTGCTTGGTGACTTGTACCTTCACTTCCATCGTATCCTGGACCCATTGAATCAGGGCCAGCCAGTTACACGCCAACGCCTCTGGGGAATCATGCTGAAAAAGTCATCGCTCGCAGAGTGGAGCTTCGGCATGAGCCTCAAGGGTGGCTGGCCTCACAGCGGTATGGACAAAGGCTTCTTTCACTTTTCAACCGAAAGTGCGAAGTTCCCTTTCATGCCTTCCTGCTAGCAACTGAAGATGAGATCATGTGGGATTGCGAGTGGATGAGGAGTCGACCTCATCGGCCAAGAATAGGCCTCAGACCACAGCAGAAATCTTTGCGCATGAGGGCGCCACCCGCAAAAATGGCAAGGAGGATGTTTTTGACCGATTTATTCAGGGGATTTGATTGTGTTTTGGATTCATGATGAATTGGGATTTCATGGGACATTTAATGCATAAACATGGTGATTTCAGGGTATTTAAGCAACAAACAAAGTGAGTTAATGGGATTTCACCAATAAACATGGAGGTTTAATGGGATGTAAGCAGCAAACATGGTGGTTGTTCATGGCATTTCACCAATAAAGATGGTGATTTTGGCACCATTTCTAACAGGGTGATTTGATGGAATGGGACCAGCGAAATGAGTTGATGGAGTTCAACTGTGACATACCATCCGGTAATCAAACATTGTAGTTGAACATCCACCATATATAGATGATTTTCCCATCAAAGCCTCTATTTATCGAGGATTTCCAATTGCCATGTTTGAAACATGATCTAATGGGATTTAACCAAGCACCGTCGTGATGTGTTGGGATTTGACGAAAAATGATGGTTGGGATTTCATGGGGTGTAAGATATAAGCAGCAAACAAGGGAATAAGTACCCTATGGTAATTTAACATAGCTACCAGTAGTACCGCACAAGGCGGTGGCGGAAGTTTCAAAAATAGGAAACCTATAGGAGAGATTGGTTGTTGTGAATCAAGGATGACAGAGCGAATCCACTGATGGACCGAAAGGTGCTTGAGGTCTCCTCTCT